CTCAAACCCGCGCCACGCAGGCCCAACAACCGAATCGAGGCCCTGACTTTGCCGCTGTGGAGCAATCCACTGGTGACGGACGACGGCAAGACGACCAACTGGCCATCCTGGATGAGAAACGACTACAAGACGGTGAGCGATCTCTGGAACTTCAAAGAACAAAGGTGGGCAACCGCCGATGAAATCAAGGTTCCAGGGGCCACGCACAGCAAGCTGACGCGACTGCTTGAGGCTCTGCGAGACTCGGGCGTGGAAGAGATTCTGAGCAGGGAAGTCACGGAGCCGGACGACTATCCCTGGTGCTCGACAACGACGAGAGCTGGCAGCACACTGCTACACGAAGTGCTGGCAGTGAAGAACACTAGCGAAGGCACCATGCTTCTGCTACGACGTCATGGCTGGTCAGACAACAACATCATCGCACCCTTCCTCGCGACGAGTTGGACCAAGCTAACCGCCACAAGACCGCTGCTCACGGTGAAATGGGTCTCACACAGCGCAAAGAAAACCCTGCTTGCCAACGGCAGGTGGAAGCCCCAGGCAACCGATACGTACTTTGTCGGCTATGGTTTTGACGCGTGGATCGACCCGAGTGTGCTGATGCTTCACGGGCAAGGCCTCACACCACTACCAGTCGTGCACAAGGATACAACACTCAAGGCCATCCGCAAGCGTTTGACAGCCACCCCCGAGCCCTCGCGCGCACTGCTCGAATGGGACAGAATCATTGACTGGAACTGGAGCGAAATGAAGGCTGTGCTCAACACCAACCTGGTCACACGCAAGCAGGCTTCACTGGTGTGGCGGATCGCACACCAAACCGAGTGGACGGGAGAGCAACAGCTTAGAGCCGACATCGAGAAGGGCAAAACCAAGCAGGAGACCTTGATGCAGAGAGCGTTAGGCACCTACGCTTGCCCGCACTGCCGACGAGGAAACGCTCGCCCCACCGAGACTTGGATCCACCTGATTTACGAATGCCCGGTAGCTGAACACATCTGGCTTAGAGTCGAGCAAGTTATGGTTGTCGCACACGATCTTGGCACTCCGTCCTCGGCAGCCCATGCACTCTTCGGACCTGCCCACAACCCCACACTGCCACGAGGATATCGACGCAACAGACCTGCTTTCAGATTGCTGATGACCCTCTACCACTTGGCGCGTTGGACCATTTGGCGACTTCGGTGCTTGGCGAAATTCGACAGTTTGGACGCGACACCAGAAATAGCGACCGCAATGTTCGATAAACTTGTTTCCAACAGAGCTTACGAGGACCTGACTTTGAGGAGGACAGAAGCAATGCAAATGTGGGGCGCATGCGCCAAGGAAACGGCTACCGGCAAATTTGTCTTTGAACTGGAGCTTCACGATGCCGCGGCCAGACTCAAATACGGGCCCATTTCGTTGAACTTTGCTTGAAAAGGGGGCTCTTCTTTCATTAGTCTTCTTGAGTTTTGCTTTTGAGGTTGTGAATCATTCTGGAATACACAATTTCACCCGAAAAAAAAGTCGGAGCAAAGAGCCAATTCAAAACTCGATGCAATCACCAGCAGTGGCGAAATCCCGCTCATCATTTTCCTCAATTAACAAAGTTTGACCGCCAGTAGTGGATCTTGGTCCTCAACCTGTACAATCGCACGAGAAGGTTTACCGTCCTGAATGAGGTCTGCCGAGATCCCATTTCCTCGATGCCACGCTGCATCCAAGACGTGATTGACGAGAATGGTGGCTGTTCTGAATACTAAAGTGGAGCTTGCTTGCTTTGGTTGATTCTTTGCGTGACTCGAGTTGAATGTTTGTGCTTTTTGTGCACACAGTACAAATTGACAATGTCAACGGCATTCCACATTCATGTTGTTTGACTGTTGAACAAGCATCTCTCTAGTCACGCTTTTTCACGTTTTCCGAGGCCGGCAGAAGTGTGGTGAGCGAAAATGACATGCAATCTTGCAGTGCAAGGAACGTTTTCAAGGAACTGTCATCTGGAAGCCTTGAACGAATTGGTCCAGGTCGCCGCGGTGCATCACCCACGAAAGCGGTGGCGGATGTGCAATCGTCACTCGAGACGCCAACATGACTCCGACAAGAATGACAGTGTCTTCTTCCATGACACACTTTCGGGCGAGTTCCTTCCGAGCATTCGTTTCCAGCCTCTCAATCTCGTCTTGGGTGGTGAGACGAAAAGACTCATGATGTTTGTCTTGCAGTCCAATGACTGCCGAACGCACTTTGCCGCTGGTCTGCAATCACATTTTGCCAACAACCGTGAGTAAAGATCGAAACCACAAAAGGGCGCTCGGGTTTGGCAACCTACTTTCTCAACGATTGGAACATGCATGCAACTGTCAATAGCCGGCTCAATGTGAGTCACGAGTGTGCATTCAGCATTGTTGATCTTTGTCATGCACCAGCCTGACCTCCCGGCTCAACCTGTCCGAGACGTGGACGAAGCGCCACGACTTGCCAGTCCGTTCTTAAACTTTGATTTTTGAATCGAGCTTCGTACGGCACACAAATCATGAAATAACACTTACATGTGGCACAAACATCGAGGAGACCCAAAACAATGCGAACAACACACAACCAAATTGAGACAATGGCTCAGCAAATGTGCTGAGAAAATGCCGGCACTCATTCTGATGAACGCCGTAACCATCAACTTTGTCCAAAGCCTCTAACTGGACACGCTGGCGCTGGAGGACGACGTTGCGGAACGCGCCTTACGAGGCAATGCAAAGTACCAGCCAAGGTGCTTGACCAGTGGGACATCCTTTTTCGTGAGAGTGTGGGCCACTTGCTTTGTTTTGCCGCTCTCCGTCAAGGTGAACGAGACCTCTTTGGAAGCACCAATCTGAGCCAGCAAGAACTGGCGCAGGTCTTCCGCTGTTCTAAACTGCTGCCGGCTGTCTGGCTGGTGAACTCGGTGCCGAGTTTGCACGAGAAGGTGTGCCAACGCGTCGCACACAGCTTGTGACTTCGTGCCCCACGAATAGAGGAAACTCGCAATGTGTGTTGCAGGGCTGTGATGCGGGTCGAACGAGTAGGCGCCTGTTGTTGCAGCAACATGCAGTAGGTCAGTGCGTGCTCAGCAAGCATCACCAATCGTTAACAGCGTGGGCACGAACAAGAACTTACACTGCACAACCTTCTGAAATCCTTGCGCAAACTCGTCCAGAGTGTCCCGCTCCAACACCCACGAGTGTTTAGGAGGATCAGTAGTTGCACGCCGAGAAGTCGACATGATTCCAACGAGAACAAGCGTGTTCTGTCTGTGTTGTTCATCCACATAGTGCTTCTCGAGTTGCTTGCGGGCTGCTTTCTCATATTTAGTGGGAGTCATTGACTTGAGTTGCATGTGCAGCTTCATCTGCAGACCAATGACGACGCGTGTCTTGGACCGCTGATGTGCGCAAATCGTCATGAAGGCAGTCAGTACTCAACGAGACAATTCATCCAAGATGCAATACAGCAAGACCATCTTCAAACATACGTGACCAACGAGGTCGGCGTGCATGTAAGCGTCGATTCCTGGCTCGCCTCGATCGGCAAGTTGCATGAATGAAAAGTTCTTCAAGGTTTTGGGATTCAACTTGAGTGACAGTTCTGAGCAGCCCGGGCCAAACTTGACCCCAGGCAGTAACTCGGTTAGAGGGACGCGGATTGACGAGGAAGGTGCAAGCGAAGATAGCACGTGATCGGCAAGATACGCTGTCACCCGCAAGTTGAATAGGTGGACGACAAGTCGCTCCCACAGATCGGGCCTGGACGCAGAGCCTTGCATGTCTGCTGTGATCGAGTTTAGGCATTGCTTCAGTGAGCCTGCAAGCTGCTCGATCAATTCGAGGCTATGGCGAACAGGCTCGAGGACCTGATCAGCCGGTACTGCGAAATGTTGAAGCTCAAATGAGTGCTCCGTATCGCCGATCTCCGCTTTCACTTGCGACTCATTGACGGGCATGCATATCAGCTCCAATTAGAAACACAGCCGGCACTTACGCAAAGCGAGTGGTTTGTACAAGTTGAACTGCAGGGACCGGGCTGCGATCTTGGACTGAGCTGATGCAGCGAATCGCATCATAGCCAGCCGCAATACGTGAGATGGTTGCAACCACATCAGCACATGCCAAAATCCTGATGGAAAAACATACCTGCAACAGCTGCACCGCGACTGACCCAAGCAGCCACGTCCTCCAAGAGCGGTTTTCCTGTTAGTCGTGCATTGAACGCACAAAAGCGCACGAGCTTGATCAAAGAAATAGGGCTCAGTTGTGGTCGAGCAATCGCATCAGGCGTATCCACGTCCATCACGTCTTCAATGTGACGCGGCAAGCCACCAGCAATACGAAGTTGACCCACTAAGGTGGCATCAAGGCGCCAATCCAACTTTGTTTGTTTAACTCCGGCAACCACGTCTACAAACTCGGCGGTGTGGGGGCCATCGAAGGGCTCCATTGGAACCGGATTGACAGCTAAGTTGCTCGAGCCAGAAGCGTTGGAGTCCAACGGCTCGACCAGACCGGGCCTGAGATGTTCTGGCAAAGTTCCGGCATAGAGTACAAAGAGCCGTGAAGCAGGATCGATGGTGGCAGCCTTGAGTGACCAAAGTGTCTGCTTCAGCAGCCAACGCTGAGATTTCACCTTCTCCAAGTAGCGTTGTCTGGCTAGATTTGCCTGTACGACCGAGGCTTCAGAAGCGGACAGTACTTGTGGGACCGGATTCGCCTCGGAGACCAGCTTCTCTTGTGCACCAACCTTGTCCTGCTCGTCTGCGTTGCTCGCAGCGTCCGCCCGTTTCACAGCGGCTGGCTCTTTCAACGCATCAGCGGACACAGCAAGCAATCTGTTGATTTCGTCGACCGCAATCGCAACGTACGGTAATTGATCCCCAGGTTTCGGCGCACGACCGCGCCGACGCTTAAACTCGAACTGCTGGATGAACTTCAGAGTAGCAGCCACCTGAAAGCTCCCGGTCTGCGCAAAGTTCAGTTCAAAGAAGGTCGGCGGGATGTCGAAGTATGCTTGCAGAAGGCGAGTCGCAAGAGCGTGTTCAGGGTCGGCGTTGTGGACGATGGTCCAGTCTTTAATGCTGTCGAAATTGGTTGCGTTATTGAAGGTGACAAACAAGGAAATAAACTCGAGTCGTCGGCTGTTGAATACGTCAGGAGCGATGCTGCCCACAAACTCTTGGCAGAGCCTTGATTTTCCTGCACCAGGCAACGTCGACGCCAGAAGTGATGGAAAACGCAGTCGGTCGGTGCTCTTCCCTGGTCGCTCCAATCGGTTGATCATGTGCGCTTTAATAGCAGTGGTTGCCACTTGCAAGTCGACGAGGGGGTAATCGAAATTATCCTGCCAAAAGCACAGCCAGATGAGTACAGAGGTACCTGCAACTCCAACACGAATGTCACCAGAATAAGTCATACCGTATTTCTCTTCTTTGGCGTGAGTTGAATCAAACCCGCAAGTGAAGCTTGGATAAGTTCCGGTGTGTTTTTCAGCATAGCTGGTCACGAGAGAACAATTTGTCAGAAAACCCGCAGCAACTCAGACCATGTACCACACACACACACACACACACACACACACACACACACACACACACAATTATTGCATGTCAGTTCGTACCGTGGTTCTTGGACCACTGCTCGACCCAGCCGTAGAACGTTTGAGCGAACGTTCTGGGATCTCCAGCTGAGTGAATTTTCTCAACATCCTTTTTGCGTGTCGCCACAACGTCGGAAATCGCTTCGGGAACGACTGACGCGAACGCGGAGAGCTCTGTTTGGACAACAGAGATTGCATTCTTTTGGGAAAGAAACAGTTGAGCAGTTGACAGCTTTTCGAGCAGGTGCTTGCGAAGGGCGGGTGCCTCCCATTTCGCCTCTGTTGTCACGCCGGTTCACAGTCAGTCGGTGAACAACTCTACACTCCAAAGCAGTGGACGAATCGTACCGAAAGGCTTGCGGAGGAGTTCGGGCAGGCGATCAATCAACGCACGGTCATCCTCCGCTGAAGGGTTGACAGTCGCCTAGAACGGTGACACAAAGTGAGCCTGAGTACATGCAACTCAAGACCATGATAAGGATGCTTACAGCAGGGGCTTTGGCGTCGATCTCGGACGGAGGGCCGGAAGCAGAGGTCGAGTGGGACCTGCGGGGCCAAATGAGCAGGCTGGAGCGTTCATAGTTCCTCTCGATACGGGAGCGGACGCCGCCAAAGGCGGGGAACAGGAGGGCGCCAAAGGAGGGAACGGGGACGGCGCCAGAGGGGGAGAGGAAGGCGTCCAACGCCGGCTCGGGCAAAGTGGGCGGCGCAACTACAAGAGCAGGTGGCAGTGAATGGATTGGGCAGTATTCATCAAAGCAAGTAACATTTGCTGCCACACAATCAAGTCGAGACTCGAACACAGTAGAGAAGCTTCGCTCTCGACGACGTGATGTAACACACACACAAAAAAAAAAAACAAAAAAAAAAAAAAAAAAAAAAAAGGGCCGGCAGGCCTTCAAGCCGAGAGAGATGACGCACACCAGTCAATGGTGACGGAGTTGGCATTGTAGACACGGGGCGCAGCGCGAGGTAAGGGGTCTTGATGCCCAGCAATGAGGCGAACCCCAGCAGGCAAGCTGAAAAAGAGGGGGAAAAAAAAAAACAGGAAAAAAAAAAAGGCTGGCTGGCCGAACATTGCCACGCAGGCCGCATGCACGCCACACAACGACGATAGAGGCGCACCCCGCGTTGGTTCTCATTGACCAGCAGCTGGTGCTCGTTGACCAGCAGCAGAGGGAAGCGGGGAGCAGGGGCATCGGTGGACAGAAACAGAAGAAAGAACTTTACCTTGAGCACGTTTCGGCGCTTTGCAAGCGACAAAGCCAGCTGCAGCCGTGCTCAGTGCAGCAGCAGCAGCGCGCGGCACAGGAGTCGTGATACACGCAGCAGCACCACGGGATGCCGCTTTGACGAGCGGAGCGGGCGGAAGGCGAATGGCACTCAGCATCGTGTTCAATGAAGCGATGACGAGCGTGAGGAGGGTTGAAAGGAAAAAAACAACGACTGAACCTGTCAAAGTGATTTTGTTTTTTTGTTTTTTTGGAAGTCATGTCGTCAATGTCAATGGTGAGTTTGGTTCATTTGTCCACTTTCATCATGACGACGAAGACTCGCAATGTTGAGATGCGATCTTGCTGATGGCTTCGCTTTTCTTTTGTTTTTCTTTCGGTTGTTTTTTGTTGTGAGTTTGGTTTTGACTTCAAATGCAAGCTGGAATCGAGCTCCCAGGCTGCGCTCTGTGCTCTCCTACTTTCTCGATAAATCACGCAATGACCTCGCATCAATAACCATGGTGGTATTGGTGGGTAGGGGGTGAAAGGGGCGCCCAGTGCCGAGCACGCTGAAGTCGTCTTTTTTTGTTTTTGTTTTTTTTTTCCTTTTTTTTTGCGTTACTGTGCTGTTTATGGTCATGCTTTTGACAAGAAGGAAAATAAAAATCAATCGAGAAAAAGAAAACCGTTCAACCCACCAAGAAAAAAAACAAAAGGAAAGAAGAAAAAAAGGAAAGAAGAAACGTGGTGTCACAGCAACACAAGACGACTCACTCTCCGCTCCCTCCCCCTTCACTACGCATGACAGATGGATGAAGCGCGTTGCACCACACGCGAAACGCAAACGCCGACGCCAGAATACGACGATCAGGCGGCGAGATTGGAGTTGAAAAAAAAAGCAAAAAAAAAAAAACAAAAACACGAAAAACAAAAAAACAGCAAGCAACAGAAGAAACACGGTGCCCCGCACCACTCGCTCTCCGCTCCCTCTCCCTTCAATACGCATGACAGATTGATGAAGCACATTGCACCACACGCAAAACGCAAACGCCGACACCAGAATACGACGATCAAGCGGAGAGATTGGAGTTGAAAAAAAAAGCAAAAAAAAAAAAAAAAAACTTAAAGACCGCCGCCAAAGCAATCAAAAGAGCTAGCGAGATGGTTACGAGAGAGAGCGAGAGCGAGAGACGGATGGGAATGCGTTCGATGAGATGAGAAAGAGAGAAAGAGAGAGGGAGAGAGAGAGAAAGAGTGAGAGAGAAAGTGTGAGAGAGCAAGACAGAGAGAGGCTCCGCGTGCGATCTTACAGCGGGCAACAAAAAAAACCAAGAGAGAGAGAGAGAGAGTGAGCATAAATAGAGCACAAATCATAATAAGAGGGGGAGAAAAATGCCGACCGCGTGATTGTTCGCCGTCAACGAGCTACTTATCTCTATTCTGTCGGTTGATGATCGGTTTGACAAGGACAACGTTTGCGTGGGTTGGAGGGTGACGCACTACCCCGAACTGGTTTGGGGGTTTGTTGTTCGTCCCACCGCGTCGCGCATGGATGTCCTTGTCCTCTTGGTGTTGCTCTGTGGCATGGGGCGGCAACCGAGATCGGCAGCAACCGAGATCGGCAGCAACCATGACCAAGTGGCGTCTCATGGTGAGGACAATCCTCATAAGTCGCACCCATCCACAGTGCGATCGCACCATGCACTCTCAAACACGCATACACGTACGCACACGACAATCGTGTGTGCTGGTCTGCTGCTTGGGGCTGAGCGACGGCGGCGTCGTTTGAAGCGGCTTTGTCATTTTAACCAATAAAATTGTTATTTTATCATTTTGACAGCTCCTCCATTTGAGCACTCTGTTGAGGAGGGCGGCATGAAATTCCGTCAAAAACCGCTCCTGTAGCACCGATTGTGCCTTGTTGTGCCCATCAAATCGATGGCGACGAACGTTGGTGCTGAGGAGGGATATCGATCAAATGCATCCAAATCCAGCCATTCGTCCGCCAAAAGACACTCACCTTTGCACTCGAGCTCCACGATGCCACGTCGTCAGAGTCGTGCACAAGGGCCTGATTCAACAACAAGGGCACTGCTCTGAAGTGTGCAAGCAAGGACTCTTTCCACTCGTCTCCCCTTGCGTGGGTGCATCTGCTGAGCATTGTTGAAATCCTTCAAGTCTGCTCTTTTGCTCAATGACCCTTTGAGTGATGGTTTTGCAGTTGTTCTTCGTTCCTTTGATTTAGATCTACTCTTCATTTTTCTTTTCTTTTTCTTCTCGCAATGGCACTGCAGCAGCGCAGTTTCGCGTTCGCAGCAGTCGCAGCACTGCTTGCATTGAGCATTGCCGTCCTCAGCGCTCACGGTGCGGTTTGCTTCTCGTTCACTTCATCGCTCCTCCTCCTCCTCCTCGTCCCTCTCCTGCTGCTGCGTCTTTATTCTGCTTCTTTCTGTCTTTCTCTTGCTTTGATCGATGCACGTCATGTGTGCTCTTGGAGTGGCGCCAGAAGACCGAGCTCTCTATGTCTCTCCCTTTCTCTCTCTCTCTCCCTTCCTCTCTCTCTCTCTCTCTCTCTCACTCTCTCACTCGCTCTCACTTTCTCTCGCTGCTTGCTACACGTCGCATGTTTTCACTCCCCACACCACGAACGCGCGTCATCGCTGTGTGTGCCTCCTGAGCCTGAGCCTCACTCATGATACCTGCCAATGGAGACCGACTGTGATCCTCTCTCCAATCAACCTTCACCCCAATGGCACGTCACTCACTTGACTCGCTCTGGATCATAGTGTCGCTCTGATTCACAGTTTGACCAGTCGCACACAACGGATCAGGCGCCCGCCACGTCCAGTCGGAAGCGGCTTCTGGCTGGTCTAACATTGCCGCGCATCGAATTCGCATCGCAACCCGCTCGTGCCTGCAGACCAGAACAGCCTCGACCGACGTGCTGTCGAGTTTGACTTTGCTTGCAACGCATTCATCTCGGTCATCTTTGCCATCAAGCAGCGCAACACGGACGCACTCGCCTCCAAGCTCAAGGCGGTCTCCGACCCCGCCACCGAGGACTGTGGTACAGTACCGTCCAGCATGCGCATTCTAGACCACGGGCATGGTCAAAACTGACCGTTTGTTCGTTGAGGACTAGCCAAGTTCGTCGACGGCGAGCCAGATGCTGTCAACAACGTTGTCACCTCGCTCATCCTCCGAAACGTCGCCTACCGCATGCCGGCTGCCAACAACTATGTCATTGTGGACAAGATGCCTCTCGCAGTCGCATCAGAGCTCTTCATGTGCAATGTAAGTTCGGACGAGGCTCTCTGTCTCTCGCCAAGCACTTTGCTGAGTGCCTGCTTGCAACTTTCTGACTCGACAACTCCTTGAGCAGAAACCTACAGAGGCTGGGAATCCTCCATTCGTGGTCTGTCGCGGTCATTCGAATTGAGTCGAAACAGCTTGCACCTCCCTCCATGCTGATGAGCAAGATCAAACCCCCCCCCCCTCCCTTCGAAAGCAGGTGGGGAAAGGCTTTTGAAATCCGGTACAATGAACGTCTTTCCACACAACTGTTTGCCCTCGTACACCTGGTACCCGCAAATTGTGTGTAAAGCGGTGTCTTACGACAGTGTGCTGTCCCACCGCCTGCCAGCCGTCTACTTGTTTGTGAACCGTGTTGGCTGGCAACATGTCTTTCGTGGTGTATAGGTGGGGAATGCCTGATCCTTGCATTGTCAGCCCGGCTGATCATCTGTTCGAGTTCCTCTGTGAGCTCTTGAGCACTCTCCCCGCATGCCTTCACCGGTGTGCGTTATGACGACATTCAACTGTCTCATATCCTACGTTCTTTTTTCTTTGTTATTCTTAATAAAGCTTTAGACGGTGAAAAAAATGTGTGTTGGGATAACATCCAAACAAGACAAACAACAATCATTCGCGCCTTTCAACGGTGTTGGGTCCCAAGCGACCCGTGCCACGGAACGACGATGCACGAGCAACCAAGCTGGGTCATCCACGAGCTGCTTTGGAGGAAGGAAACAAATATGAAGCAAGGACAACAGCCATGGTGGAAAGAGGCAATACTCAACGCGTATTCGAGCGGTTTTCCATGACAAGGTCGTCCGCGTACGGCCAGCCAAGCACAGCGTTTGTCGGAATCGATTGGATTGTGAAGCCCGAGTTGGGGACCCTTGCATGCTCCTCTAAGTACGTGCGCAGATCTCGGATTGTTCGAAACTGCTTCTTGGGATCCAATGACTGGGACGCATTCACCACCTCAGCGATCGCCCGAGCTTGGGCAAGTGTCGTCCTTTTGCCGTAGAATTGACTTGCGAGACGCGGAATCGAGCTCAAGTGCGGGTTGTACGCCCATACGTCTGCAGCATACCGTCATAATAATTGAGTGAGTTGGAGCTCGATTCACAGAGCAATGCTAGGATTGCAAACGTTTCTTACTATCCGCAATAAGTTCAAAGCACGCCACGAACTCCTTATATCCCTGCCGAGGCAGAATGAGCGCATTTGGAGGAACATCCGAAGGATCGAATTTGTCCATCCGAGCGGTTGTCAACAGCGCCACAATGGTAGTCGACGATGGGCAATTGCGCTGCGCTTTTTCGATATATTCGATCTGTGTTGAAAGAGGCACGCAGTCCTCCACTTGGTCGAGTTTGGCTTGCAGCGCCAGCGTGGCTGGCGTATACTCGCCCTACACACGACATCCAACAAAACAAAAAGACGTGAGAACATGCGTTAAACATCAAAAAAAAAAAAAAACTTGTGTGCCTACATTGTTATCCTTCACATAGACTGTGCACCAACTGTCGACACCGGTGTATCCTGCAGGAGTCAAGCAGACCCGGCCATCAACAGGTTGATTGCGCCGATCCGGGTTGTCCTCCGAATAGTCCCTCCATGCAGAAGCGTTAACGAAAAACTCTGGCAACCGCGAGCTGGTGCTGCCTGGAAACAGATTGGTTACTTGCACGTACTCAGAGTTGGGGTGTGCTGCAATTGCCGACAGAATTCGCAGATTTGTGATGATGGCACAAAATGCTTCCCACGATTGCCAGAGGTCAACAACTTGTAGCGCCTTGTTTGGATCCGGCCCTTGGAGCTTGTGAAGAGTCGACATCGTTGCTGCCATCACCAAGTTTGCTGGGGCTGTGGTTGGTCGCACCACCCGAGATATGTTCGGATGGAATACTGGGGCTTGTTCGCGGTAAACCAGCAACGCTTGAGACTCGAGGAAATCGCAATCAGACTGCATGATTGACCCTTTGACACCATCTCGGACAACCCTCTCAAGTGTTGCGTCATCGATGGAGACGCTGCTCCCGGTATCCAGATATGTTTTCGGGTCAATAATGTTCAACAGTGTACGAGGTAGCCCAGCAGCCTGGTCGATTCGAGCCATCAGCTTCGAGTTGACACGCCATGGTAGGAGGCGGGACTCCGGGGCCTTCGGATCGGCAATGTCCAGAAGCCGTGCTGCATAGACAGCACGGAGCGGCGAAAGCGGTACCGGCAGCACAAAAAACCTTGAATTCGTTACCGCTTGCTTCAGAGCACTCGACATCGTGCCAGCAACGAGCATCCACGTTGGAGTTGTGAACGATCGGCATGCAACTTGTAGATCAATCAACGCTTGTTTCCAGAAGCGACGGTTCGCTTGTCCAAGGGACAACCCCGCGTGATCGGGTTCTTGGAATTGTGGCGCAACATGCGCTCCAAGGAGACGAGTCGCCTCGTCCATTGCAATAAAGATGTGCAAACGTTGCTCAAGAACCTGTTGTCGTCCGGCCTCTGTCCGGCGGATGAGGCTCAAGGCAGCGTTCACAGAAATGTCGCGGTTGGTGGTAATTTCTGCCCCACCATAATAGCTCTGAAGCAAACGCCTTGCAATGGCATGCTGAGGGTGACGTGCGGACTCCTCGTAGCTCCTCCATGTGCTCGCGGCATCGGAATTGAAGGTCAAGAATAGGCACAGGGATGGGATGTGACGTTGCGAGCAGAATTCTGGGACGATCCGATCCATCACCTCCAAGCACATACGGGTCTTCCCACAGCCGGGAAGCGCCGCAAGAAGTGCGATTGGATACCTCGAGCGTTCAGCACTGCACACGCGGACAGTCTCGATGAAGCGTTCCAGAGCTGCGGTAATGGATGCTTCTGCTTCCGACCGATCGAGCAAACTGTCGATGGAGTGGCGTGCCCGCGTCTGTCGACATCAGACAATTGTGAGCGAGCCAGCAAAGTCGTGAGCACATGCGTCAAGCCATGGACAGTCAACATGCAGACCACTCCACGTACGATCGTGAGTTGTGGATCAGGTACTCGTGCCTCAGCTCCGGGAAGAGTCGCGAGAAGGGTCGCAAGATCATCAGGCGAGGTGATGAGCTCTACCATGCCAAACCGGTCAGCGAAAACACACACACACACACACACACACACACACACACACACACACACACACACACACACACACACACACACACACACACACACACACACACACCACATACCAGTGATGTTCGTTGCAGCAAGCTGCCGTCGCAGCTGTTCGACTTGCTGGTCGGTAACTAACTTGGAGCCAAGCTCGTCATTCAGCGCCTCAAGCAAGTCTGCTCCGAACCAATTGCGGCCCACCAGCTTGGCACAGAAAGTTAATTCCAACTGCCGGAGTGCAGCTGCGGCATCGGTTTTCTGCTCGTCAGTTGGAGAGGCAGCGCCGGCTTGTTGACCATCTAAAAGCTGCTTGAGCTTGGCGCGTTGGGCAGGTTGGGTGGTAAGTTCTGAAATTGGCACCAAATCGACTGAGACGCCAAGACATGCGGCCAACGCGCTCAGCTGTTCACTGTCCAAATGCAATCAAAAGCAAAGTCAGTCAAACCAAGACAAAGACAACTCCAGTGTGACGAGTAGGGCAATCACATTCATTACCTGAATGTTGCTGGAGCTGGATTCGGGGCCTGTCCAAACACAAGGGAACAAAAAAAGTGAAACAACTGGTCAGTACCTCCCGTCCTTGCCGCCATCAAGTCAAAGTCGATGCTTTAGTCTTTGTTCACTGAATTACACCAAGGGCGTGTCACGAGGAACTGAGGGACGGCAGGCGGGGAGAGCGGGAGAAGGGAGAAGCAGAAAGGAAGAAAGGGAAAAAAAAAAAAAAAAAACAAGGACCAGGAACAGCCAACACGACAGTCTGAAGCGACGGGTGCGAGCCGGCCATGCCACCATACTTCTCTATTCGCGCTCATAGTATCACTCAACGTTGTAGACGGAGGGGCGCTGAAACGACAGGAGCCGGTTGAGAAAATAAAAATGAAAAAAGAAGACAAAGAAAAGAAAAAGATAATAAAAAAAAAAGATAAAAAAAAAAGCCATGCGCTCGTTCGCCGCTGGTTCGGGGCTTCAATGCGCAGCGGCTCAATGGTGCAGGGGCAAGGGGATCATTTGCATTGCAGCGGCATGCGAGCGGGGAGGGTGGAGAGGCGACAGACAGGAGCAGGGAGAAGGTTCCAAACCAAAGCAAAAAAAAAAAAAAAAAAAAAAAAAAGGCGCCAAAAATCGCCAATTGCCAAGAATTGCCAAGAACAGATCGATGCATGTCGTTCGACCCCAGTTTCGATGGAAAGAGTCGGTGAAAGTATCAAAGATGAATCGCGGAAGTGTTTCTTGCGGGTGGCAGAGTGCACGATAGAGTGGAGCTGGGAGAGACCCATGAGGAAGCTTTCGCACTTTCAGCCATGAGTGAGAAAACGAAATAGACTGAAGTGAAACAGGTCAGCTTTTGTTTCTTTTTTGAGAAGTGATTTTCCTCCAATTCCGAACCTTGCTCATCATGATCCAAAATCCAGTGCGAGTATGATCGAGCTTTGAAATTTCTCCCCGGGGGTAGAAGGGGACGGGGAAAGGGGGGAGAGATCAGGCTCAACAATGAGCAATCACTCACACTGGGCTTGTTACGAACTGGGCTCATCCCTAATCGGTCTTCCCCTCATTCTACACTATATTCTTAGTAAACGATACTTTCGCATACATTTCGTACGCTTCAGTAGTGATTTTAGGTCAAGTTCCGGGTAAGCTCGTAACACAGCTGAAGCGCTGTTTTGCCGCGTTTGACTTACCATTGTGAAAAATCTGAAAGGCACTTGCTGGACTGAGAGTTCAAGACTCGATGTGTGTTTTGTGACCAAGGTAGGTCTGTTATGGATTGACGCGTATCTGTACTTGGAGTGTGTTCACTCAAAGCTCAATGCAAAGTCAAAATTTCAAAGTGCTCCAACCGCCCGACTTTTTGCACATTATGTATTAAAATTCTGTTGAACAAGAATATGAAGAGAGCCAGAGTCAAGGTGGTCTCAACTTTTTGTCCGGTTGGTGGAGTAACTTCCCTAAGACAAGGAAGGCCACAAACAAACACGGCCCCTCTGAGAGACCGAGCGGATCTTGCTGTGACGGCGAACCAATGCCAGGGCTCGACTCACGCTCCGATGCAGCGCTCGCGTCGATGGAAGGCGCCGCTCTGGAAACGTTGCTCCTTGGATAGCGGCGGTCACGAGATTGGAGCAAAGCTCTTGCAGCACCATGCAGCCCTCGAGACTGAAACTGCCATCAGTCAATTGCAGCCTGACCCCGATTCGCCAGTCGACAGCACACGCTGGCTGTCCAGACAACTGTCGCGAAGAAAATCCCCAATTTCGTTAAAGAAGAGAGAATTGTTGGGTGTTCGCATGGTTTTTTTTTTTTTTGCTTTACATGCATCCAATAAACTGTACATGCAGGCACTTACTTTAGTTCACAACTAGTATTGCCCGTTTCCCTGAGCGCAGTGATTCCCGCCTCGGTCAAGAAGTTATCCTCCAAGCTGTTGTTGCCAGTGAAGTTGTCGGTGAGGTCGTGAGAATGTAGCACAAGTAGAACGACATCCAAAGAGTCGTGATGCACAACCTACCGAATGGATGTCAGCGTCTTGTTCACCTTGAGCGCCTCGGCGATTGCCTGAGCGCCAATATCGCCAATCTGATTTGCCCACAGACTGTCCATCAGTGAGTCCTCTGGCTGCCCTCTGCCGGATCACATGCTCATATGCACCAGTCAACAGTGAAAATGCCTTACTCGAGCTGATTCACCGTCGTGTTCACTCTGAGTGCCTCCGCGATCGCCTGCGCACCTGCATCGCCAATCTGATTCTGGTACAGACTACCCACCCCTCCATCAATGAGCCATTCTGCAATGCCATCTGCTTGAATCTTCCATTCACACCCATCGCTCAATACGAGAATCTCTTACTGAAGCTTTGTCAGCGTGGTGTTGACGACGATTGCCCGAGCAATGGCTTGCGCACCAGCATCCCCAATCCGATTCACCCATAGACTGCTCGTCCTCGACATCGGTGAGCCACTCGGAATGCGTTCTGCTCCAATCCACCCACTCAGAAGTATCGTCATGTCTTACTAGAGCTCAACCACGCTCTTGTTCACTTTGAGCGCCTCTGCAAACGCCTCTGCGCCAGCATCGCCAATCTGATTCTCACGCAAGCTGGCCGTAAACCCCTCGTTCCATCAGTGCGCCACTCTTCAAGCTCTCTGTTGAAGTGGCCGCCCATAGACTTACTCAAGCACAGCCACCGTCGTGTTCACTTTGAGTGCCTCCGCAATCGCTTGAGCTCCTTCATCGCCAATCTGATTCTGGTACAAACTGACCTCCCCAACCCTCCCCCCAATCGACTTGCACGAGTGAGCACCCTCTGCGGGTTCGCTCGCTCACACGCATCAGTTCAAGAAGGTGAGCTGCCTGACTCGAGCCCAGTCACAGCCGTGTTCACTTTGAGTGCTTCAGCCACCGCCATAGCGCCTGCACAGCCAGCCTCGCTCTGCCAAAGACTGTCTCCATTGGTCGTCAGCACACGTTCCACACAATGCTTTTTTTTTTTTTTTTTTACAATGAAGCTCGGCTGCATCTGACCTGAGCCACCCGCTCGCCTTCGTGACTTGGTGATACAAATCGTGTTGTCTCTGAGTCGCTAGCATTTCCTAAGAAAGACTGCATGGGTCTGGTTTTGTATCCAAACAATGGCCAAATGAACCTCTCCCTCCAAAATCACACAAGTGGCAGCAAGGCACTCGGGCAATGTAAAAGGGTGAACGGTTGTGATCGAGTTTCGCTGCCAAGTGTCTGAAGTGAACATGAAACAAGGCCACGTCGATCGAGCAGAAACGGAAAGACGCAACCGACGGTGCCTTTGAACAGTTGAAGGCGCGCACAACTATAAAACTGAAAGAATTGTACTCAACTTTCACAAGCGTTCACGAAACACAAACAAACAATGACAATTCAGGCCGCGCAAAAAGCGACCAACAGAGTCGCGAAAGCCGCGACAAAACAGTCGAGCACAAGTGTTACTGCTGGTGTGAGGCATTGTACAGCGGATTATCAAATTCTTTCGTGGACGACTTGAACAGTGTTGGGAGCAGAAAACAAAACGACACAACCAGCATCAAAAAGGTGGGTTAGGCGGAATGGAAAGGCCATGCCATGTTTGGCGGCTCTAGAATAAAGCCTTTAATGTGTTGCACGGGGAAGGAAGTTGACTGGGCGGATGGGTGCGTGAGTCGGTGGGTGAAGAGTATTCGAGAAGAAACCAAACACAAAAACGGCGCGCAAAACTGCCAAAGCACAGGCAACGTTTGTCCACTTACGACTGCCAGTTTTGACTGTTTCGGCGGCCTCACTTCACTAGCATCTGAAAACAGTCTTCTTTTGTTGGTTGAAAAATTGCATTGCAATTTGGGACGACTCCTGGTAATACCTTCCAGCCCTCTTCACCAACATTTCTCCCCCCCCCCTCCTCTCCGCGTCATTTCGATGACGAGTCATTTGCTGTTGTCTGTTTCAGCTTGGTTCATGCTGCGCGTCCCACAAGCACCTTCTGGACACGCAGTCGCGTTTGTCCGCTTCATGGAACCCTCGCGAATCACTGGAACCGCAACTCGAATTGACTTTCGGACGAAGCTTTATGCTTCACACTGATCACCTCCCCGCCGCGACACACTCGCTATGTCATGTTGTTGGTTTGGCTATTTCAGGTTGCTAGTTGCGACCCACAGGCATTTCTAGACGCGCCTCGGCGCGTCAGCCGTTCGCGGAACCAACTTTGAAACCGCTGGAGAACCGAACTAACCACAAACCGACATCGTCGCTTCCCGCCCTTCTTCAATGGATATAAATTTCCCAAGGCCTGTAGTGCACGAGCATACAGGCTCGCTAATGCTATGTCATATGACCAGACATGGCTCTCTGCCAATTTTGTGTCTCCAAGCTCCTTACACCCATGTCCATGCTCCCGCTCCTTTCTCCGTGGTTTTTGAGCATTTTGATGCTTTTCCACTCTCTCCTCCCAATAAACTTAATACAAAAAAAAATAGCATCTGAAAGTGCTTCAGATGCGCGACGTGCATTCGCCTTCCGACTTGTGGCTGGTGGAAATGGAGCCGTTTGCGGGTTGCGCTTGAACGACATTGAAAAACAACGGAAAGTGACTGAGCCAAGATGTGACAGTCACTTTTAGGATGATGGCATCGTTTAAGCGCTCCTGTTGTATGCTACAGTACTCCGTCAACTCGATAGCAGAGGAGGGTTAGGGAAACGAATGTAATTCTACAGCCTGGATTGATCAATCGATGCCTTCTTCACAGACCATTCATCGTTGAACTCGAGCATCGACCACTCTGCTCAATAATCGAAACCCCCCCCCCTCACTTTTGGAACAAACGAACAACATTCACTCCATTCTTTTGTTTGACAGGTAGGTCGCGCATTGTCGGCATTTTCTCTTCGCATCTTCTCTCGCTTCGTGCCTTGCTGGTTTGGCTCTGGCTGCCCTGCGCCTTGCTTTTGCGCGCTTTGGTTTGTGGCTCAACCAGTTGGCGCGTATCAGCGTCTTGGATGGGGGAGGTGAATGGGGGACAGGGGGTCGCTGCCAGCAAATGAGTCATATCTGGCCTCTTGCCCCTTTTCCCCCTGAGCGCGCGCACCGCCGTCGCCTCACGCGTCCCACACGATGATCAGACAGCTTCTTGTTGCTGGCAGTCCAGCCCTGGCTCTCGCTCGTCTGCGTCCCCTTGGCAGTTTCGTTTTTTTTTTTTTTTTTTTTTTTTTTTTGAAATTCGTTTCGGCATTTAGCGTCCATGCAATCCTGTTCTTGTTCTTCTTCATCTTCATCATCCCTCCTGCGTCGTCTGCTTCCTTCTCCTACGTCTCGCTTGGCAGACACTGTGCATTGTGCCAGTGAAAGTGACTCGGTCCTGAGTTGCCAGTCGCGCGCACACGGGGCCATACCCATCCCCACACCCACTCGCTCATTCGCTGTATGATGCTCAATGGCTCACTCTCCGATTCCCTGCAGCAAAACAGGTCTGCTTTCCATTCCACCCAACCCCCTCCCCCCAGTTCCTCCGTCTTTCATCGAGTCACGCTGGTTGTTGTAAACTCCACGTCGGCACTGAATCATGGAGCCGCGGAATGAACTGGCCGAGTGGGCCGAAAAGCATGGTTCTGTTGCCAACGACGATCCTCCAAAGGTTTCGCCACCATCGTCAGAGTACGGCATTGCGAGCTCGAGCTCTGCAACGTCTCATAGCCTGGTGGGCTCGGGTTCTCGTTCATCGCATGACCATGCGTCTGCTAGTATCACCGCTTCGCGCTCGAAAACGTCCTACAGCTTTGGGCCTTCCCCTGACGGATCAGCAACACCGCGTTCCGCCAAGCTGGGCTCGAGGTCCAAAACTTCTCAGTCCGCAGTGAGCTCTCCCGCGGTGATATGGAGCCGGCTCAAAGGCCTCGTTTCGTCGTCCTCGACGAGTGCAAGCTCAGCAAGCATGCCCGAGGCCAACCTGGGCGACCAATACTTTATGCCTGACGAATTGGACATGAATACCGATGACTACAATCCCATGAAGGACATCATGCAGCATAGCATGTCCAGCAGTGTGACAATGCCTCTTCCGATGTCCGTCAGCAAGCCGCAGCGTAGAGCTTCCAGGCCGGCCCCTCGCTCCAATCGAGGTCAGTTATTGACGTTCAACTCTCACTCACTCACTCACTCACTCCAGTAGTTTGCAATGTTGTCTTCCCACCTTGACGCGCACACATTGAAAGGGGTTGGGCTGTGCTTGCATTGTCACTCACCATCCTCCCTCTGTCTTTCTATTGTTGCTTTTTCTTTTTGTTGTTTTGCTTTTTGAAACCAGAGAGCTGTGTATACACTTGGCGCTTTAAAGTCATTTTTCTCTTCCTGCTGTGTTTGATTGTTTTGGTGCTTCTTGTCAATCCTTATGTCCGTGTCCTTCTGTAAATGCCAAGCACATTCGTTTCTTTGTTTTTCTGTAGTTGCGGTGTTCACCGATTCATCACCTCCCCGCCCCCGCCTCGCCCGAAAACCGCCCCTCCCCTAACCGATCAGAAGACTATCCTCCATTTCCGACTTAACAATGTGACACGAAATTCAACACAAGCTGGATTTTTGTTTCTTTGACATCCTTCGATTCGCGCACACGCATCGAGCTTGGCTGCAATACACTTCAGTTTGTCTAATCAAACTCGCAATTGCGCGTTTCGAACACTGTCCAGCACAACCAGCCATCCAAAGGCGTTAGGCGTGACGCAGCGTAAACTGGTCTCCGATCTGGTCGCTGTTGTTGATGATAAACTGGAACGCAAGACTCGTCTTGTCGGCTTGCAGGCGAGCGTAGCCATAGACCTGGTCGTTGACAGCGACAACCCAGGACGGTTGGGCCGCAATGAGGTTTTGCGAAAGGCTCTGACCGGCCATGCCAATGACGACGTTAACAGGGCCAAGATACGACCAAGGTGTTGCAGCATTCGGTGGCTGAGGAGTGGTAATGCAAGTCAGGTTGAGCGAGGGGCAGCTGCGCTGGTACGAGTGGTGATGACCAAACATGGTCAGGTCGGCGCGGTACTTGAACAACAGCGGCTCGACGAACTGACGAAGTGCGGTCGCAACAGGCTGGTCTCCAGTCACAGGCGAGACGTCGGTCGAATCAATATACATGGGACTGTTGTCAGAGTTGGTGATGGAGAACACAGTCCAAAGAAAAAAAATAACAAGAACGTGAAGCCCGACAAGAAATTGGTGAGATTCTCACTCCCTCAACGCATCCTGGAACAAATAACCACAAGAACAATCGTCGCCAAACATGACCCTGCTTTACCGATGCCCAGCAAACAACAGCCAAGGAGTGACGGAACGATCGACGCTCGCCAAATCCTGCTCAATCCAAGCCAACTGGGTGCTGCCAGCACTAAAGTCGTGCTCGGTGCTCATCACAGTCAGATGGATGGGACCGTAGTTGGCAGAGTACCAGGGAGAGTCCTTGACAATTCCACCGTCCATGCGCACACCCGCCTTGCTGGTTGGCTTGGAACCGGGCATGAGGAATCGGGCGTTGTACGGCACGCCGCACTCACCGCCGGAATCGTAGCCCGGGAACAGCGCGCCAGAGTTGTTCCAGTCTCGCTCATGGTTGCCAGAAGCGATCAGATACGGCACTGCCGAGGCAATTGGACGAACCTGGGCGAAGAACGAGTCCCAATCGCTCGCGTAGCCACTGTCATGCGAAAACACAAACACCAAAATCACGAGAATCGTGAGAATTACACGACACATGCGGCAACATCCTCGTAAGGCAGTGTCCGTGCGTCTGAAACTCCGGAAACAAAACACACACTCACCGAGCATAGCTAATGTCACCAAAGTGACCAACAAAATCAACGTCTCCGCGCTTCAACTCGGCAATGATGCGGTCGGTCGTATTGATGGACGGGGGCTCGTACACTTGGTACTCGTTCGAGCCGTCGCGCTCGGCACGGCCCATGTCTGTCCAGTGCACAAACAACATGTGTGAGCGTTTGAGGATTGCCAATCAAAACAAACACAACTAGACTTCAAAAAAGCATCTCACCTCCAAACACAACCCAGCGAACCAGACTGGTGTCGCCACGGGCAGGAGCGGATACGAACGAGTAAATTGTGCTCATGCCGTACGAAGGATCGCCAAACACGTAGTAGTAGCGGGTGCGTGGCTGAAGGCCTGTAAAGATGACAGTATGGATCAAGCCAGCGGGGCGGTAGCCGTACGATGTGGCGGGCTCGCCGCACATGTCGGAAGCGCTGTACGACGTGGTCGTGGCATTGAAGGTGGTGGTGACAGAGGTCGTGGACGTGCCGAGCAGGGCGATCGGCATGGCGGCCTTTCGCGACGTCCACATGAGGCTTTTCAGGTCCAACGAGCAAAGTAATCGGACAAGAGCGAGAACAGGGGGGGGGGATCAGTCAGTCGATGAAACACTCAAAACGAAACACCTTCAACACCCTCGAGTTGACAAAACACACACGCCACTCACCTCATTTCGCTGGGATTGTCGGTGATGGCCAGATGCGGATGCATGGGAATGTCGTAGCTCTCAAACTCGACCGGATCGGTTTGCGCGACGGCGACAGGAGCGGTGAGACCGCCACGGAAGAAGACGAACGAGTTAGAGTCGCGCATGTTGATGAGCGTAAAGGTGAGCGAGCCACTGCCCGAGCTGAGATGGGTGGGGCTGATGGTGCACATCTTGAACTTGACGGGCACGATCGCGCTGAGGTTGCTGGGAAGCGGGGTGTACAGGGCAATCCAGTCGTCTGGCTGTGGGTCGTCCAGCCCGGCCCAGATGACCGTGACAGTCCCCTCGGCCGCCTCGAGCGTGTTGGGCGTCACTGCAAACGCCAGCGAGCGGGGCGACTCGGCCTTGGTCGCGCGACGCATGGCTGCGAGCTCGATGCCCTCCAGCGGGTGCACAAACTTGTCTGTTGGGGAACAAGCAGAGAAGAGAGAGAGAGAGAGAGACAGAGTCCCGAGTGTCAGCTATCAACAACCATCCGGCTATCAGCAGCTATCAGCAGCCATCCGGTTATCAGTCTGCAGCATTATCGGCATTGAAATGAGCGGGTGCGGGAACGGGTCTTTTTTTTTTTCAAACCAAACCGCACCAGACGCTCGCACTCGCACTACTCACACTGCACTCACACTCACTCGGCACACAGCGCGAGGCGAGGCGTGCGTACATGTATTATAATCAAGTGCGACGAAATCGAGAGAGAAGCAGAGAGAGAGAGAGAGAGAGAGAGAGAGCAGAGAGAGAGAAAACACAAAATGATCGTATGACTGCGCAATGCAATGCAACAACTTACGCGCACGGGTCGTGGTCGCTGCAGCCAGCAGTGCAACCAGCAGAGCAAAGAGAGCAGCACCGCGCATTGTAATGTGCTCAAGAAGAGAAAGAGAAAGAGTCAGGAAGGAAAGAAAAAAAAAGAAAAGAAAAAAAAAAACGAGTAAACTAATCAACCACTCAAAACGGAAAGCAAAGCCATGTGCATGGATGCATTGGCAATTTGCATGGGCGATTGGCAGACCAACATGCACAACCAGAGAGAGCGAGCGAGGAGAGACGCGAAGGAGGGGGGGGAGCAGGAATGCTCGGTTATGCTACAACCGCTGCAGTGGTATCAGCAGACAGTGAACGAACGGTAAACCAACAAAAGGCAAACAATCAACGGCAGCTTCCCCGCCTCTTCTGCGAATGACTTCAACGTGCGCAGCAATACACAAAACACAAACAAAAACAGCTGTATTACCATAACAAGCACTACTGCAGCATCTTTTTGTTTTATTTCAAACAATCAAGCGGCTTATTGGTGGGAAAGGACCTTCTGCCAGGTGGGGCGCGAGGTGATGCGGTTCCACCAGGCGTTGACGTGGGGGCGCGAGGTGATGAGGTGACCGAACTGGCCGCGGGCAAGGTGCTGCCCGTACGGAAGGTGGGCAAGATCAGCGAGCGAGAATTGGTTGTTGGCAAGGTACTCGTTCTTGGACAGGTGCTGCTCGTAGACGTCGAGGATCTTGGCGAGCTTGGCGGCCTGGGCCTCGGCATTGGCCATGTCGCCCTCAATCTTGAACAGGTGCGGCTTGAAGACGGTCTCGGTGACGATGGCCGTGGTCGCGGGATTGAAGTTGGAATACTCGACCGAGAGCCACTGCTCGACCAGGGCGGCCTGCTTGATGTCCGCGGGGACCAGGTCGTTGCCCTGGCCCTTGTACTTGGCGTCAATGTAGTGGATGATGGCGCGAGATTCTGCTCGCAAAAGCGACAAACAACGACAAAGTGAGGCACAGAGTTATTTTAGCTTTTGGCACCTGCCCCTCGCGCTGCGGTGCGTTGCGTACCATAGACCTGGAAGCCGTCGACGTCCTCAAACACGGGCATCTGGCCAAAGGGCTGGCGAGCAAGGTGGGCCGACTCCTTGATCTCGGCAAAGCTGACTGGGACGAATTCAAAGGGGACGTTGTGCTCGTGCAGCGCCATCATGACGCGCTGGGCGCAGGTGGAGAGGGGCAGACCGTAGATCTTTGCGACGGGCATTGTTGTGCGAGTTTTGGGGGTGTTTGTGCTTTGTGAAATGTGCAAGAAGCAGGAGTGACCTTGTTTGAATTTGCTCACGCCTTCCCTTTTATACGCGCGCGTTGAATTGTTCGCAATCCAACAAAAATCGCCGTGGTTGCCCCATGGTGGGCGCCATTACCCTCGCCCTAATTTAGCCTGCGCATTGCCAGACCACCCACTGCGTCAGAGGAAGCGGAAGAAAGAAAAAGCGAGCCACGTTGCACCACTTCCATAGTGCTAATGAGAGGTGGGGGGGGGAAGGGAGGCGGGGGCTTTGCTGCAGTGATTGGAAAACGCAAAAGAAAAAAATTGGAAGTGTGAGAAACACTCACGCTGTGTTTGGTCGAATGCAGCGGCAATCGGCACCTTAACAGTGAGTGCGCAGCGTGCAAAATGTGAGTGCGTACCAATGCTCAGGGGAACAGGATTGTGTTTGAGAAGGAGTGGGCGGTTCGGTTGAGTTCTACGAGCACACAGGTACGAGGACCGACGGCCGATTCGGCTTTCTTAATCTCCGTGACTGATTGACTATGGCCTCATAGATCGCGACGCCAAGCAGAGTCCGACGTGGGCACTTTTTGCTCAACAAGGGCGGTGCTCGGCTCTATTCAGGCCTTTGAAAGAGAGTGGGAATTGGGCAGCGTGGAGGGGAGGGCGAATCCGAGCCGGCAGCGATTTTGAATCGCGGTTTAGGGTGACCTGACCCGACTTGCCCCTCGACCCAAACCCCCGCGAATCTGGGGGGGGGGGGCGAATACAGCTCTGTGTATGCGCTCCAAGCGTTCGCAGGTCATTCCACAACTGAGCAGCTCCAGTAAAACTGTACTGTATGGCGAAAAACCATCCTTCTCCATTCCAAACGCACGAAAAACGACAAACGACAAACGAGCCAACCGTCACCCTGCTCGAGTCCCCAATTCACAAGAAAACAAACAACCCAAGGCATCGCTCTCGTCGGTAGCAGGCTGAAGCCACCCACCAGCAGTTTCTGGTGGCGTCACTCCTGCAAGGCGCGTTTCGTTGCCTGGTCTCTCGACCGCCAGCCCTTCCATCCAGATGACACTGCGGTTTGGCTCCCATCCTGAAACCGACGGGAAAAGCTTGGCGCCCGATGCCAGTGTCATTTGAGCAACGTCTCGCTCCTCCACCAAGACGAGTCGAGCGATGACAAGCCAAGCGGCGGTTGGTTGACAAATCGGATGCGCACGCGACCAAATGTGACTCGTCTCCAAATTGCCCGCTGCGAAGCGTCGGTTGCCAGCCATCGTTGCATGGTTGTCGGCTGCATTGTGACTTTGATCTTTGGTGTTGGTGTTTTTGTCCCACAGTTTCTGTATTTCTCACCTCTTTTTTTTTTTTTTTCTCACTTTTTCTTTTTTTTTTTTTTTCTTTTTTTTTCTCTTTGTTTGATTTTTTTTTTTTTTTTTTTTTTTTTTTGGCTGGGTTCGCAGCAGCAACAGCCACTACATAACTCGTCCCCGCTGCCGCCAGCACGCACCATCGATTCGGCAGTCTCAAGAGTCAACCCCAACACTTACATCACCGCAACAGCATGGAGTACCAGGAGCAGCAGCCGCCGCCGCCGCAGTATGTGTCGGAAGTCAACCTCGCAGCTCTTTTGCCGGAAGCTGTTGTCGACCTCCCCACGTTCCTGGTAACGCAGCACCCTCTCTCCTCTCTTCCTCGCTTGGTTTGCGCGGCTGCCTTGTTCGACCTCCGTCTCCAGTCCCGCGGGCACGGCGCGCCTTCGCTGTGGTGGGACGGTTAGGGTGGGAGATTGGCAGAATTTGGGCACGCGCGGTCTCTTCCATTCAATTCGTGCTCTTCCCCTGAACAATGGTCGTTGCTCGGCCCTCACGCCTCCACCAACGTCACACGCGATGCGATGCACCCACACTCCCACACTCACATCTAATCGCGTTCCTCCTGCTTCGTTTGTGTCGCTCTCTTCTCCCTCTTTTTCCCCATTCGCTCGTGCGTTTCGTTTCGTTTCGCTTGTTTTTGCTTTTTTTATCGCTTTTTTTTTTTAATTTTGAGTCCAGATTGGATCTCTGGTTTAAGATTTCAGTGCTCTGCGCGCGCGTGCGTGTGTGGTGACACGTCGGAAATTGCAGCAGACAAAGCAACCCATTGCCATTGAAACCCACTTGACGTTTGCGGTTTTCAACGACTGTCATTGCTCGATGCGTTTTGCCGTGTGTCGCTCCCTTCCTCAAAGTGCACAAGTGTCTGGCTTTCAACTCACCATGCTAAAAACACCTCCAAAACAGAAATTGCGAATGGACCCTTCGGACAACACGTTTCTGCTCGAGACATCATACGAGCTCCTATCAAAGGCCCCTGAACGACTGTCGCTCTTCCGGCAGGGCTTGTAAGGCAACTCTCCCCAACTCGCGTCAGTTCACACCTTTGCCGCGTTGACACGCGCACGCGCAGATTCATTTTTTTTGTTTGTTTTGTTTTTGGTTTTGTTTTGCCAATCACCAGGGCAACTGGCGATTACATTGCACTCAAGCACCTTGCACATCGCGAGAAGGGCTCTGCGAGCACGCTCGGCTTCAACCGATTAGCAAATGCAATGCTGCGCTTCGAGTATGCATCGTACTTGGTGGTACGTCGAACACATGGGGGCATTGAAGTTTATTTGATTGATCCGATGCTTTTTATCTGTCATGTGAATTGGTGTGGGGGGGGGTACAATAACGAGAGACGAGGTTGACTGGCGTGCTATCTCGCTCCTTGCAACCTGCAGATCTACCAATTCATTCAACCCGATGCTCAACAGTTCAGCACGCTGTACTACACTATTGAGCGCGAGTATTCAGTGCTGCGCGACTATCTTCAAAAGCTGTTTGCCAGCCAAGCCCATCCTGCGCACTAAAGCCATTGAGTGGCACTGGCTACCTGTGCCGTAGCCTGCTTTTGCAGCATCGTGTATTTTTCGTTAGTCATTAGTCTGTATATTGTAATTGAGTTGTTTCATCGCTTGCAGTATCGCTAGTCAATGTACATTGTCTAAATCAAAGTAAAAAGCCGACCGAAGAAATGTCGGAAATTCTCCACACCTCCTTCTCCCTCTGTCTCTCGCACTGTACTCTATTTGCTGTTCATGGTTTTGGATTCTTTGCTTCTTCCATCCCACTCTTCTTGTTTTGTTTGTTCCGGTACCCCCGTTCGTCACACAGAAAACCTCTAGCGTTGTTGTCGAACTGGTTTCTGTTTGTGCTTTGCGAGATGGTGCCTCGGTCGCCGTTTCCCCTGCTTTCCCGCACATCCGCCACAGTCCACCCTCTTCTCCACGACTGTCTCCTTGCTTCCTGAGAACTTGCTCGAGCGAAGAGAGCAGGCGGCTGGAGCAGCTGTTTCTGGGAGCTTCGCGTTCAATCTGCGTCGTTCTTGCAGCTTCTCGCGCCTTCCAGCCACCGTTTTTTCGCAAACCCCTCTCTCTCTCTCTCTCGCTCTCTCCTCGCTTGCCTCCCCTGCGAAATGACTCGTGTGCTCTCCTTATCATTCACTCCATTGTGCGCATTGCCTCCCCGTTGCGCTCCCGAACCGGCTGTTCCAACAAACACTCTTTTTTTTGGTCGGAGCGTTATTATTAAAACGTCGATGTGCTCGATTCAATTTTGGCTCACTCTTTCTTTTGTTTTCTTTCTTTCATTTCCATTAGATGCCAGCTCAGAGCGCAGATTATTACAAAGTCCTCGGCTTGCCAAAGGGTACGTCGGATGCGGACGCCATCAAGAAGGCGTATCGCAAAGCCGCCATGAAATGGCACCCCGACAAGAACCCCAACAACAAGACAGAAGCCGAGCACAAGTTCAAGGAGATTTCAGAGGCGTACGAGGTGCTCTCAGACCCACAAAAGCGACAAGTGTACGACATGTACGGCGAAGCCGGGCTCAAAGGCGGAGCTCCCTCAGGCGGGGACGAAGGAGCTGGCGGCGGCGGCTCTGCAGGCGGCGGTCCCGGCACCTTTTATTTCTCATCTGGCGGTGCTCCTGGTCGTGGTGGCATGCACTTTACACCCTCCAACGCTGACGACATCTTCCGCCAGTTCTTTGGCGGATCGGGCGCCGACATGTTTGGTTCGCCAGGCGCTTCTGGAAGCTCTAGCCGCTCACGTGCCGGCCGCGGTGCACGCGTCGATCCATTCAGCTCCATGTTTGGCGGCATGCACGGAGGCATGGGCGGCATGGGCGGGATGCCAGGAGGCATGGGCGGCATGGGCGGCATGGGCGGCATGCACGGGGGTATGAGCGGCTCGGACGACGACGACGATGTGCAGTTTACACACGCCGCCGCGCCTCGCAAACCTCAGGTGCTGACTCGCGCACTGCCCGTCTCGCTCGAAGACTTGTATCGCGGCACCGAAAAGAAGCTCAAGATCACTCGCAAAATCCAAGATTCGGCCACCGGCAAGGTTGTGGAAACGTCCAAAATCCTGACCGTCAACATCCAACCCGGATGGAAGGCTGGCACAAAAGTGCGCTTTTCTGGCGAAGGCGACGAGCTCAACGGACAGCCCGCTCAGGACGTCGTGTTTGTCATCGAAGAGAAGCCGCACTCTCATTTCAAGCGCGATGGCGACCAGCTCACCACCAAAATCCAAGTCCCGCTCGTGAACGCTCTCGTTGGGTTCAAGGCAAAAATCCCAACCATCGACGGAAGTGTGGCTGAGTTGCAAATCACCGATGTCTTGACCCCAGGCTTCAAGCGAATCATTTCCGGCAAAGGAATGCCCACCAAAAGCGGAGTCCGCGGCGACCTGCTGGTCGAGTTTGATATTGTCTTCCCCGCAGCATTGAGTCCTGCTCAGAAAGATGCAGTCAAGCGCGCGTTCTCAACCTCCTAAATTGCGTGGCATGCTTGCTTTTGCATGTTGTCAATCCATCGCAGAGTTTTTATTGTGCTGTCTCATGTTTGTTCTCGTGATAATTGTTTTTAAGATATTGTAATGTACATGTTTTGTACTACTAAAGCCAACCTACGCTTCTTTTTGATTTCCGACTTCAGTAGAGAAGGGGAGGGGATTTACTGGTAGAATTTTTGTATTTTTGTTTTGTGTTTGTCTGTTTGTTTGTTTGTTTTTTGGTTTTTGTTTTGTTTTTTTTTTTTTTGCTTTGCTTTGAATCAATCCCACTGCATCGTCTCGCCACTTTACAAATCTGCAAGGTGGGCGGGATAGGTCACAATTTGCGTCGGATACAGTGTGGCAGCCGTCGCATCCAGCAAGGGCAAGAGCCCACCGGCAATGTGTCGGTTGATAAACCCAAGCAGCTCAAGGGCCAGTTGGCGATTGCTTTGCATTTGCGCTTGGAGCGCGTCCTTGGCGAACAGGTTATGAACAGCCATGCGCCGGCACACTTCAGCGTTGATGATGGCGTCGAAGAGCGGGATGCCGAACGCCAGATCGAGGACCACCCAGTCGGTCGCATGCGCGGGATGGAAAAATCCAATGTGTGTCAAGGATGCCGGCAGCTCAGACCCATCCGGCAGCGTTTCGGCATCTAGGGCGATGGACGTGTCGCTCGAGTTTCCCAGCTTGAGCATGGAAATGTACCCGCACGCGTGTGCCAAATCGATGTGCTTGGACAACGCGAGCACACTCGGATGCTGGCTCAACGGCAGCAGCCCGCGCTTGGCTGCCAGGGCGGTCACCTTTTGAATGAGCGCTAGCGCTGCAGCCAGTCGGGCGCTGGAACCGGCGGGCAGGTCGGAACCGCTTTCGCCTTCTGGCCCGAGCGGAAACGGTACGTAGGCGATTTCTGTTTGCTCATTGTACGCTTGCACCAGCACTGGAGATCCGCAGAGCTGGTCGTTGACCACAGGCAACATTGTTGCAAGCGAAGAGACGGTCGGCTCGTGATCCCAGGTCGTGATGAGAACACGATCGAACGGTTGCATGAGTGCTGGCAGTTCGCAGAGCCGAGCGCCCATCGGGAGCAGCAGCGTCGGGGGCCCGGAGCCAGCACACCCATACAGCCACAGCTTAAACCAAACCGAGCCCATCTCTGGAATGGGCGGGCCAATGTGCTGGGGCACACAGCCGCGAATCGATCGCACCTCCTTTGCGAACGGCGCCATCGAAACAATCATGTGGTAGTTCTTGTTCAGTACACGGAAGCAGGTTTCCGGATCGAGGGTTGAAATACTTTCGCATCGAAGAAGGTCTAAAGCAGAATCATGATGTGGGTCAATCAAAAACAACGTGGAACCAAGAAAACATTTCGCAATCAATCTTCAAAAAAAAAATGGACAGAGGCGAAAAGTAAATGCGGGGCGATGGGGACACACCTAGAGCGATTGGGCGAGCTGGAGCACCGCTTGCAGCCAGTTCGGCCGCGCTGGGATCGACAATGGCCGCCAACTGAGGATTGTAGCGCAAGAAGAGCAAGGTATCGCGCAAAATGATGGCATGCTCAAAGTACCGCTGAGCGTCGCCTTCGAGCTCACCCTCCAGCTGCGTTTTTTTTAGAGAGAGAGAGAGAGAGAGAGAGAGAGAGAGAGAGAGAGTGTGTGTGTGTGTGTGTGTGTGTGTGTGTGTGTATGTCAGTCAAAAAACAACCGATGAAGCACACTCGTCCGCGCTCGCACTTACCCGATCAAGCTCGGCCAAAAACTTTTCCATGGACTCCTCCGTCAGCTTTCCGACCTCAAACATGGTGACAGCGTGAGTTTTGAGCCCCATGGATAGATTGCCCATCATCAAGAAGGCAGTTAGCGTGGAATCAAAGAGGAAGGCGACGCGTTTGGTCGAGGCTGCCGGCTGGACATCTGGATCCAAAAATGCGATTCGCAGCAACCCATGTCACAAGTTAGCCACCACACTCCAGTCCAGCCGTGAAAATGAGAAACGAGACCTAGCCCCTACCCTGCGTTTCGGCCTTGGTGGAGCCGGATCGCCGGTGCACGACGCGGCTAATCCACGACAAGTGCCATCGCACATCGTCCACATCGAGCTCAACGTTCTTCTTTTTGGCAAACCCAAGGCGACAGTAGACCGAGACGGCGTGCTAGAGCGTGACGTGGGTTGTGGACAAAAAGCAGACAGTGTAGCAGGTCGATCAGTGTAAGTGGCGAACGGAGACGGATTGCCCAAAAAAAAAAAACCCAGTGTATCGCGACTCTGCTGCCTCAAAGCTCTCGACTAGTGCGTCACTCGCTCACCTTGACCGATTCCAAATCCGTCTGCAAGACTGCGGCCAGGTCGGCAATGGTGGTGTGTTCGTCAATCGTCACAAAAATCTTGTACAGGAGCGTCTCAAAGTAGTCGCCCGTGACTCGATTCATGACAAATCCTTCCAGCGGCGGGACGGCGACGCGATCGTGGTCGTCCACCGGCACTTCAAGAAACACCAATCCGCGCGTATGCAGCCCGAGCAGCGTGTTGTAATCAAGTTCTCCAGCCATCTTGTGTCCTGTCGTGACAAGAATCTCCAGCATTGTTCTTTCCGCCTGGTTGAGTTGCTGTGTTTTTGTTGTGTTTATGTTTTGATCGTGTAGATCGTTTCCCAAGTCGGAAGTGCAAGTGGAACAAGCAAAAGAAAGGTGAGAATTCACAACTGCTCAGACAAAAACCATTGTCCGAATTGCCTTCTTTTTGTTTTTGCTTTTTTTTTTTTTTTTTTTTTTTTTGTTTCGCCCAAACTCACCCGAACGTCTTCCTCGGTGTAGAAGCCAGGATGGACAATCCACCAGTGCTGAGCATTGAGTGGAATGGGCTGCGCTGGGAGGAGCTGCTTGATGGCCTGGCGCCGTTTGGCAGCAGCGCCGATGGCCTTCCACGACCAGCCCTTGACGCGGCTCTGGTTCATCGTGTCAATGTACTGGTTGCGGCCAATGCCCACGAGGCGCAGACAGTCCGCTGCGGCAAAGTTCGGCAGGGCGTCGTAGGATCGCTCGCCCTGGAGCATCTCCTGCAGAATGGCAATGTAGTAGTCGAACGGGGTGATGTGGAGCCCCTTGACGAGGATGCCGCTGAGGTGGTACGGATAGAGCATAAAGTTGTCCTGGCTGTACTTGACCAGCTCCTGGTAGTACTTGCGCTCGTCCTTGTAGTAATGGCGGACGAGATTCGCCTTCCAGCGCAGCTGATGCCGGATGCTGTACCCAACCACCTGCGCCTGCCACGCCGACTCGCTCGACCCCAGCTGCCCCTTGAGGTTGCTCGGGAGCTGCTCCCACTGCGTGTTCTGGCGGATGGCGGCCTCGAGCGGATCGCCCCCGAGCTGCTGTCCCTGATGCTGCTGATGCTGCTGATGCTGCTGCTGCTGTTGTTGTCCCAGCTGCTGAGAATCGCCTCGTTTGACACCCGACGATGCCATTCGTGGTTTTGTAGTAGTTGTTGTTTCCTGTTGATTCTGTTTGTTTCTGTTGTTCTTGTGTTGTTGTTGTGTGTGTGTGAGTGTTGAACTGCAATGTTTTTCTGTATGGATCAAAAACAACGAGTGGCCAAACCTAACCTCTGACTCGGTTCAAAAATGTCTTCTGCAATCGAATAATAACGGGTTTGGACATTGCATGGCTGTCTTGCTCAGAATGCGTGCGTTGGCGACGAATGTTTGACTCCAATTCTGGTCGCCGTTCACTCCCCAAAATCACACACACGCATCTTGGTTTGGTGCTTGCAACCTCAGTTCATCCCGGAACTCACAATCAAAACAACATGCCAACACCCAGTGTACACGAATCAGACGGCGTGGGTACGGCAGACGCACCACCTCTAAGCAGCAGCGCAACTCTGCCTCTGAGCAAGCTCGTCCTACCAGCCCTTCGCCCCGTTGCCAACACGACCACCGCCACCACCACCACCACCACCAATCAAGACGACCCTGCTGCTCGTCAGTCGCACGAAGCAGACGCCTCTTCGCGCCGGTCGTCTACAACTGCGACTCGGCCCAATTCGAACGCTGCCGACTCGGACAACCCGGCCGCCGCGCAATTGACAGGGCAAGAGTCTCCCCCTCCCCCGCCGCCCACGCCGGCAAGTCCCCACTCGCGGCAGTCGTGCGCCTCGCCCTCTGATGATAGAGTGCGCAATGGCACCGCGCAGCCACCGCCAATGCCGTCGTCGTCGTCGTCGTCGTCGTTTCACACGCGCCAAATTCTCAGCGAGCACCCAAACACGCGCACAATGAACGCACACGCACATGCAGCGCTGCTGGCCATGGTCGAGCGCCAAGAAGCGATCGCCTGCCACACACAGTACGAAACCGACATGTCCAACTTTTGCGACTCGGACCTGTCAGCCAGAGACCGGCTGGCCAGCTTGGGTGACGCCGTTTCGCAGAAGGTCTGATTTTTTTTTTTCTGGCTTCTTACAAAACGTTCATTGAACAGATGTGCGCACTGCACATTTTTGAAACACAGTATTGATGCTGTTGTTGTTGATGACAGTGACGAGCATGGACTCACTTTCTCGTCTCGGGTGGTATGGTTGCGCACACAGGTCGGAGAGCAAGCGCACCAACTTGTGGGAAAGGTGAGAGCAACGTTGATAACATCTTTGGTTTTTTGCATGGATGCTACTACACCCCTACTCATTGGTACAATTTGGCACATGTTTCTTTTTTTTGCATCCTTGGCAATTTTGTCAGTTTCGAGCGTTTCAAGCTGAGCGCCAGCTCCGCAAGTTGAACGCCGCCACGGGCGACACTGCTCACGCTCCCAACTTTCCCCTGTTGGTACCAACTGAGGCAAGCACGGGTGGACTGGGTCTCACTCCAATCATGTCCAACGAGCCTCTGGTCACCTCGGTCGTGGTGCGCAATCCTCTCAAAGTGTCGAGAAGCGGCGAGCGAGCGTCCAGTCTGGCGGAATCGCCACTGGTTTTGCGCGGTGATGAGCATTTGCGATTTACCTCGTCGTCGAGCCTCGCGTCGCTGAATGCTGAAAAGTCAGCGTCCATCACATCCGAGGACGTACGAAACGCTCAGATTGCAGTTGAGGCTGCGTCTGTTGCTCGTGGGTGGTCGCTCGCGTCCGGCTCGAATCCTCCTCCTCTTCCTCCTCCTCTTCCCTCTGCTGCCACTGCAGTATCTCAGAATCCTACCCAGTCAACAACGGGAGCAACGCAACATGCACCGGTGGGTGCATCGGCGTCTGCAGTTGCTGAATCCTCGAGCAACGTTGGGTCTCAGCCTCGAAAGACATCTAGACGCCTCTCCGATGTGCTACTGTTCCGCAGGGCGTCGACAAATAGTGGAGGTGCCGAGGCTGCTGATGCCCCGTCTTCAGAGGAGGTGGATCTCGCAGAAACCGAACGACGGCTTTCCACATTGACAACGCAGTGCGACAAAGAGCAGTGTGCACCGGCAGCAGACGAGCACGTCTCTGCATATGAGTTTGTGCATTCCGACCAAGGTCCTGCGACCAGTGGCGACGCCGTGGAGGACCACCCTTGAAGTCCAGACTTCTGATGTGTGGTTTTTGTGTTTTGTTTGGATGCTTTTGGCTTTTCTTGGCGCCATACGTCACATGTTCAACCCCGACGTTTTTTGTTGACGTGGTTTGCTGACCATCTGCAGCGATGCTTGCATGTCTTGCTGTGCGCTTATCTCTCGCGTATTTCTCAATTCCGGCGTTTGCTAGCTTTGTTTGTGAAAAAGAGTTTTGTTTTTGTCTCCTTTGCCCTCATTTTGCAACTTTTAGCGCTCAACTTTTGTCCACATCTTCATATTGCACTGTTTTTTGAGATGTGTGCTTGTGGTGGGTATTGCAGACACTGTTGACACTTTTCGTCCGATTCCCCTTCTCTTGACGTTGAGAATGAAGTCGGCACAACGTGCCATTTTTGCTCGGTTTGACGATTCAAGCCTCGCAGATACTCAGAAACATCTCCGTTGCATTTATTATTTATTGCCATGCCCAGTAAGCGATCGGCAGAAGCGTACGGCCCGCGAGGAGCAGCACAGCTCGAAACGCATTTTCAGTCCGCGCTTCCTTCCCTCTCCCGCTCTCCAATCCGCTCCAATCTGCTCGTTTATTTTCTTCTGAATGATATTTCCTTTCGCTTTGTGTGTTTGGTCGATCCATTTGCGTTGTGCCAGTCTCTCTTTTGCAGCTTTCTCTGGCACACTTTTTTTTTTTTTTTTTTTTTTAAGTTTTGTTTTTCGGCGAGATGAGTCGATTCGCCGTGCCCGCTGCTGCTGTGCCTGCTGCTGTGTTGCATCGGCGCGTCCACCCGCAGCGCAGCCTCCATCCACACTGTTATTCCCGCTCGTCGCTGGCGTGCATGCCATCACTGCCGCGGGCCGTCCTTCTCGTCGCATCGGTCCTGGTTCTCGCTCCCGCCCTGCTGGGATTGGTCGAAAACGCAAGGTGCGGTTTGTTATTTTTTCGTGTTATTCTTATTGCTATTTGTTTTTTTTTTTTGGGTTTTTGGGGGGGTTTTTGGGGTTTTTTGTTTGTGTTTTTTATTTTTCTGACTCACTTTCTTCTGGGCTCTTCTCTTTGCTTTTTGTTTTGTTGTTCCATTGCATTGCGAACTTGCAACTTGTTGTTTCCTCGTTCGTGTTGTGGTCTGTGCTGTGCCTTTCGGGGGGGGGGTGGCGTCGATTTCGGAATCCAAAATGGCTGACACATCTGCCATTCCCGCTCCTCCCTCGTGCTTCCCGCGCGCTCTCTCTCTCTCTTGCTTGCTGCTCGGCCCCCTCGTCGTTGTTCGTCCTCGCCATTTCTACTCGCTCACATCTGCTTGTCCAACATCTGCACCGTTAGCGCTCAAACGACATATTATCCTCAGGTAAGACGGTTCTCTCACTTTCGACCCGCCTAAATCTCTCTTCTCGCTCTCTGTCTCTCTCTCTCTCCCCCTCGCTCGCTCGCTCACACACGCACATACTCTCCCTGTGCCCTTGTTATCTCGCTCTCTCTCTCTCTCTCTCTCTCTTTCTCTCTCTCGCTCTTCCTCCAGTTTCTCATCCACTCTCCTTCGTCTCGTCTGTTGGTGAAAAGATCGCTTGCGGTTTTAAACCTTCCCGTTGTTTTATTATTATTTTTATTTTTTATTATTATTTTTTTGTAATTTTTATTTTTTTATTGTTGCTTATTTTCGTCGTTGGACTCCAATGCAAACCTCACCACTCCACCACTCCGCCCCTCACAACTCAATTTCCCCCTGTGGGTCTCCTGCCCGCCATCTGTGCCGTGTGGCGAGTACCGTTTTGGTTTTTTTTTTTTTGGCCTATTCGTGGATTCATCGACGATTGTTTTTTTTTTTTTTTGTTTTTTTTTTTTTTTTCGTAAATGCGCGCGCGTTTTTCAATGCTTTTGCTCCACTTCCCCTCGCGCTTCACATTGTTGGCTGTTCGACTGACGCTGCTAAGATGTGTCACCAGCAAATCGTCGTTTCCGCGGCGCGTCGTGTCGTGTCGTGCCCGTGTGTCTGTGGACTTTAACACAACGGGTTGTCGCCACCTCGTTCACTCACTCGTTCACTCGCCTCACTCACTCACCTCACTCACCTCACTCACTCACCTCTTGAAAACGCGTTTCCACAGACGCTCGGTGGTGGCAAGTGCTGCGCTTCGGTTGCCGCGTGCTATCTCGTGCCAGACAGAGGTAACCAAACAAAACAAAACTCGTTGAACAATCTATCTGCTGCACTGTATACCAAATAATGCCTCACCAACCCTTTCATCCAACTCGCAGGCGTAAACCTGCCATCGAATTGCAACGGCCACGGTTCGTACACGAGATGCACGGGCGAAAACCGCAAGCGATGCGTGTGCGAGTCCGGCTGGCAGGGAGCTCAGTGCAATGTCAGGACCTGCCCGTCCACCAGCGCCACTGCGCCGTGCTCTGGTCGCGGTACCTGCAACACAGCGACGGGCGTGTGTGCCTGCAATTCTCCGTTTAGCGGCTCAATGTGCCAGACATCGTCGAGCACCATCCCTTGCCCAAGCAACTGCAACGGGCACGGCTCGTGCGACACGTCGTCCGGTACGTGCACATGCACTTCTCCGTATGTGGGGGCCGATTGCTCGGTCAGCGAGTTTGCCGTGGATACGGTCATTCCGGAAGCGGTTGCGTACACTGGCGGGAGCACCATCAACGTTTACGGCGTCAACCTCGACAATGTCATTGTTTGCGTCGACACGGACGGCTCCACGACTGCGTCTGCATGCTCGAGCACACCGTCCAAGCAATGCAGCATTACGGACGCCACCTGCGGCCGCATCACCTGTACCATGCCTGCCGTGAGCGACTCTGGCCCCTACTTTCTCGTGTTTGCCGACACTGCCACGAGCTTCACCATCACCCGATCCATCTTCTTGTACGGTGTCCCCGCAACGCTCGTGGCCATCACGCCAGACACCTCGTCGACCGGCAACGTGGTGACTGTTGACACGAATTCGGCCAACTTCCTCGACATTTACCGCCCGTCCTTCTCTGTGGTTGACGCCCAGGGCGATTTGGTGACGCAAACCCCGGGGTCGATTGTTCTCCAGGCAAGAGTGTCGCCATTCCCGTTCGTCCGTCAGGGGCTCACCACCACCCTCTTCCCGCAAACGACCCCGCTCCTCAGCGGTCTGGTCGTGTCGCTGTTTGCCTTTGGTTTTCAAGGCGAGCCCGGCCAAACGTACAACGTCACGTTCAATGCCTCGTACACGCTCGACAGTGACACCTTCCCGATCGCTGTCTCGCCCTCCAGCATCCTCTACGTCGTGAATGTGTGCCCGACGCCCGGTGCTGTGACACACGCCACTCCTACCAATTCCTCTGGCATGTGTCCGAGTGGGTTTTATCGATCGCGCTTTTCAAACACAACCTGCATTGCCACAGATCCCTCCTCGTCGTGCTTTTGCAATGCTGGCTACTACGAAACCACCGATGGCTGCACTCCTTGTGGCATGAACTTTTACAAGGCTACCGCCGGAAACGGACTCTGCACTGCTTGTGACACGCGCAAAGTCACCGTCGCAACAGCGTCGGACGATGCCTCTCTGTGCTTGTGCGAGGCAGGGTACTACAGCGAAACGCCATACACCCCTTGTATCCAGTGCGACGAGCAGCAAGTGGACTGCAGTGGCACCAGCATCACACCGCGCACGGGATTTTACGTTTCGCCAACGCAAGAGGTGTATCCGTGTCTCGACAACAATGCCTTGCTTGGCGTCACCGTCTCGAGCAGCGCATGCTCCAAGGTCTACGATGCCAATACCTCTGCGGTTGTTGGCTACTGCGTGCCTGGCTCTACCGGGCCTCTTTGCGCTGTTTGCGAAGATGGCTACTTTCGCTACAATGTTGAATGTCGAGGTACGCGATGCGGGGTTTGGTGTTTGTGCAAACCAAACGAGGAATGTTGACATTTGAGTCTGTCTTTTTTGCCCAAGCACAATTCGGACTACTCCAGCTCACATCATTTTTTCCTTTTTTGGTTGTTCTTTGCGAAACTTGACTCAGAGTGTGATTCGGAAAACGGCGGTCCCAGCGCAGGAGCAGCACTCGTCTCGATTCTGATGATTCTGCTGATCGTGTTTGTGGTGTACACGGCCAGCCGCGAGCGCACCAAACTCTCAATGATTTACCGCCTGATGATCAATTTCCTTCAAATCACGGCTTTGCTTGGCGGTAGGTCGTTGTTGCGTGTTGGTGGGGAAATGATGCTCATTTGTGTCGTCAACCAACCTCGACTCTCCTAATCTCGAATGACGCTTTGTCACCTCACCATCGAAATCAAAACAACCAACAGACTATCGTGTGGGCTGGGTCGGCGTGCTCAAGGGCGTGTTTGGCGTTGCGTCAGCTGGCAACTTTGACTTCACAGGCTTCTCCTCCTACCAGTGTCTTCTCGAACTGAGCTATGCTGAGACCTACATCATCACGCTGGTTGCACCTTTCGTCATCATCCTGTTCCTGGCGCTCTTATATTTCGTCTATGTTGGACTTACGGCGCTTCCATTCGTGCCGGAGAGCTGGCGGCCGAAAGACGTCAATCCCAAGAGCCAAAGTTCGGCTGCGCGTCAGCTGTTTGACAAGTACCTCGGTGGCATGCTTGCCTTGCTCTTCCTCTTCCATCCAATCATTTCAAAGCACACCTTGGGCTGGTTCCGCTGCACGGAGATTGCAGGTGAAGGCCGATTCCTGATCACCGACATGACTGTGGACTGCGACTCGGACTATTACCGTTCGTGGCTGGCCGGTGCGATCACGGTGCTGGTGCTCTTCTGCTTTGGCGTGCCATTGGCCATGCTTGCTGTCCTCATTCGCAACCGGAACAACTTGGACGACGTCGATGTCAAGCACCGTTACCGCTTCATGTTTGAGGGGTACCAGCCGCACCTCTACTTCTGGGAACTCGTGTACATTGCCAAGCGCTTCATTATTGCTGCAATTGCCGCCTTGTATGTCGCCAATCCTTCGATTCAAGTCGTCCTGGCCTCGTGGGCCATGTTTGTCGGTGTCCTGCTGCACGTCGCCTTCAAGCCCTTCACCATGAAGATTGTCTTCCACCTCGAACTGGTGGCGATGATTGTGACCTTCATCACGATGCTTTGTGGCATCTTCCTCAACCAAATTACGTCGACTGAGCGTGACGCTGTCGACTGGTCGTTGGCACTTGCCAATATCGGCGTTTTCGTGCTGTTTGGCGTGGTTTTGCTGATTGCCTCCTCCCGACGCATCTTTGTGTTTATTCAGTCCAACACAAAGAGTTTGCGTCATCGCTTCCAAGGCCCCAAGTCCTCAGAAGACCCCGACGATGGCGATGATTGGTTTGCAGAGCTCCGCGTGACCCAAAACGGCGGAACGATCCGAAACACCACGTCGCCCAGCAGCAAGCGAAAGTCGCACTACGACATGAGCGTCATGTCACCTTCGAATGAAGTTGTGACATTTAAGAATGGCGGGTTTGACAATGTTGATGTTGTGATGGAGAACCCCTGGGTCAAATCCAATGAGTTGTGAAAAGTGCGACTTTGCTGTCGAGCGCGAAAATTGTTGGGTGTGTAGCGTTAATTTTGTCAAATGGCAATCAAATATAGTTGTCCTCGTTTGTGAAATGAAATATGCTGCACGCTGTCAAATGGCAACACATGGTTCAGAGCATCGTTCAGAGCTGAGGCTTGTGCGCCAAGTGATCGAGAATCGTCTGCGGCCAGCACTGCTGCACCAAGCCCATAAACGTTTCGCCAAATTGCTGTTGGCCGGCGGCAAGAGCGACTTGGAGAGCGTGATCAAGCGGCACCGTATGCACGGGATCTGTCAAGCGGTACTACCAACGCGACGCACAGGTGCAAGCAATGAGTGTCTGAGCTATGTGTGTGTGTGGGGGGGGGGAAGAAAGTTACCTGTCGAATCCTTCGCGTCTCAGCGCTATACTGGTCCATTTCAGCGTCAGTCTCCGAGGTCATGATGAATTGACTGCGTAAGCGGATAGCCAAACCAAAAGGGTGAGAACAATGCCGCTCTAACTGCTCGACCAAGCAACCAGAAACACACACACACACACACACACACAAAAAAAAAAAAAAAGCAAGGGCTAACATACTCGACGAGCTGGCCTTGGTCATCGATATCTTGCACCAGCGTTCCTTGGAAGGCATCGGCGGAAACGAGCAGGATGTCGGTTAGGCATTGGGTCAAGTCGTATTCGGGCTTGCCAATGCAGGACAAGAGCGCCATGCAGGCAAGCTTCTTCTTTTTGACGGTGGGGATTTTTCTGGCAATGCTCGAAGCCTGAATCGTATAGGACTGCAAGAGAAGCGGATTGTTCTGCTCGACAGCCCAGGTTTGGATGAGCTGCACGAATGCCGCATTATTTTCGAGCATGATTCGGGCAAAGAGGACGCTCAGATTGGCAATACTGGGTAGATAATCATCCTATCAGAGGTATAGACCACAAATGAATGATGATTCGTCAGAGCGCGGCCCACGATCGACGCAAACGAAGCCAACAAAAGCAGACATAGGGCTGCAGACGTACGTTGTCGGAAAAGAACAGCCCCATCAAGTGCAACAAGCTGGGCCTGAGGTAGGCGATGGCATCGGCAGGGAAGAGATGCAGCAGCATGTCGAGCAACGGCAGAAAGGTGGAAGTGCCCAAAAGTTCGGTTGTCTCCAGAGCCTGATTCAGCACCTGACAAAGCTGCATCCCATGAGCCTGCATGCCAATGGACGCGACAAAAGCCAAAGAACAAGTGAGAGAAAAGACAAAGACAGGCCATACAAACAAACAAACAAACACGCAAACAACAACAACAAGAAACCGAAAATCGCACCGAAAACACGCTTGCTGCGTCAAGATGCAAATAGGAAACAACAATTTCCAGGCTCGAGGACAGAGTATCAATAGAATCTGAAGTCAGATACTCGAGAATGACGGGGAAGATGCTCAACACTTCGCGCGTGGGGACTGAGGCGTGCGTCACGACTGCACTCCACAGTTGGATGGCATCAAGCTCAGTGTAGACGTGGAGCCTGTGTTCACGATCCATAGCAACAGAAAGAACCCTGGAAATGGTTGCGTGCAAGCTGTTGGACGCGGATTGCATGGCTTGAACCAAGCCCGTGAAAACGGGAAGCAGCGCTCCCAGCAGCGCGCCCACCTCCGCTGCCTGTTGCATTGGCAGGGCTTCAAAGCGACCAAGCTGGCGTTGCCATTCGGCAAAGAAGTGCGCAGCAATATCCAACGACAGCTCAGAGACCTGAAGTGAGTCGAAGCGAGTCAGCAATCGAAAAAACAAAACACTTCTCGCCGACTTGCAACCAAACATACAACCCACACACACACACACACACACACACACACACACACACACACACACACACACACACACACACACACACACACACACACACACACACACACACACACACACACACACACACACACACACACACACACACACACACACACACACACACACACACACACACACACACACACACATACACACACACACACACACACACACACACACACACACACACACACACACACACACACACACACACACACACACACACACACACACACACACACCAACAATCCTTACATGGCTGGAGCACCTCGAGATGATGGTTGAAATCAGGGTCAGCGCCTGGGACTGGGTCGCAACTTCGAAATCTGCGCAAGACATGAGCAGCACCAGCGCGTTGATACTGGGCCGGATGAAAGGAATGAATTCGTCCTCATCAAATTCGTAAGCACCCACAGCGGAGAGCAGCGTGTTCATTGCCTCGAGCCGGACGACAGTGTCGTCGTCGCTGAGCAAGGGGATGAGATTTTCGTAGAGAACCACACGCAAGCTGGCATTCAACCGCACATCAATCCATTGATTGACCAAGAGAATCGCGCGTCGGCGCACAAGGCGATGCCTGCACGAGGTTGATTTTAGTTTGAGGTCGAGCAAGTGAGTCTTCGTGCGCTCTGAATGATCCGATGCCCTCTTCTTGAAAGCAAACACAAAACACAAACAAGCAAACACACCAAACAAACAAACAAAAAAACCAACCACAAGAAAGTATTCACGTGGAAAATCAACTTAACTGGTTGACTGCAAACTGCGGCACAAGGTCATTCATGAACATCTGGTCGAAATCAAGATGGTCGAACAAATCGTATGCGCAGACGCCCACGGCTGCAAACACGCAGTCACGGTAGAAAATGCTCTCCATCTCCTCGGGCAGCCCTGGAGTTGGAGACAGAGTGCAATAGGGCCACAGAAGTGATGGATGTTAGGCAAACACGTTGGCGCCTTCGCTGTCCGACTTGCGCTCTCCACCTTCAGCCTCACCTCGTGCATCTTGTAACATTTGTGTCAGGAGTGGAATGATGGACTCGCTGTAGTGCGTGACGAGCAAATGCAAAACCCATTCTGCGGACGGCTACGCAACAACCCCTCACCCAAAGTAGTTGAGCAAGCCAAGCAACTTCCACCAAAAACAAAGCCGGACGAGTGCCTGTACCTTGATGCGTGTCAAAGAACGATCACTCAGACTGGTAGAGTGCTCCGACATGAACTCCTCGGGAGCGGCATCCCACGCCTCAAAATCAACCTCCGTGAGTCGGAAAAATTTGAGAATGAGCACACTGGCGATGGTAGCGACCGTCTGCGGAACCATGAATGAGCTGATTGCTTCCTGTGCTGCAGCACGCTGTGCCTCGGCTCGCGATCGAGCGTCACTGGTGGAGGAGGAAGGGGGCGTCGTCCAAGATGCTGCAAGCTCGCTGCTCGGAGCGTCTTCTTCGAGTTCTCGATCGGATGTGTCGTACGTCGATGACGAGGACTTGCCACCACTCTCGTAGTACACATCGCAGGTGAAAATGCTGACAAAGAAGGTGAGCACTTGCAGCACAAACGAAGGGAGCACGGCCACGAGTGTGGCATCGTGCACAGTCATCAGCTGTTGGGTAAAGTGGCTCAACAAGGTGGGCAGAAGCGGAATGAAGGGCAGAGGATGTGCTACAAGGCCCTTGGTGAGGATTTTAGTGTGCGTTTTGAGACATTGTATGACCAACGCTGCCGCCGGAGGTGGGTGCGCGTTGGACGGAGACACCAGGAATGGCACGAGTGCCGCGAGCTGCACCGATTGGCTGCAACAAAGCTGCACCAAGATGCCCTGAGGTGCATCCGCCGCGAGGTTGATCGTGGAGGCAGGGAGCCCGTGCAGGAACATGTAGGAAAGCAGCTTGATGCACGAGAGGGCGAGCTGAAGCGCGCTAACATGAGCAGCGATGGCAGCATTGGGAACATGCACCGCCTGACCAGCCTCGGCGTGCACTGCTTGGACAATCTCAATCAATGCAGGGAAGGTGGCCTCCGACACGCTGCGGTACACTTGCAGAATCTGGTCAAAGAGCAGCGTTGAAACTCTGGCCAAGGTTGCGACTCCTCGCGGAGATCGGTTGGACAAGAGCCCCTTGACAAAGTAGCGGACAGCCAGCAAGAGTCGGTTTTGCAAATCGGGATGCTCTGCCGTCTGCAGCATGGCAAACAACGAGTTCAAAAAGTCTGGCCACGCAGCAGGGTAGTCAAACCGCGCAATCCGAGCGACGACCAGCGCGCATTGCAGGGCGATCTAATCAATTGAGGGAGGGCAAGCGTTTGGTTGGTTTTTGTGTTTGTTTTGCAAGGTGTGCAGTTGCAGTAAGGGGCAGAGTATTTGAGCAGGAAGGAGCGTTTACCAATGGGTCGTCCTCGGTTGTCAGCAAAGCCATGCTGGTTTGACGAAAGCTCTCTCGCTCCTGCTCGGCCATTGGTGCTCTGATAACAGTGGTATTTCATCGAGTCAAGCCGTGTGAGAATTGGTTGAGCTCGGCAAAGCTCAGCACGCTCAGCACGCTCAGCCAGCTTCCATGCGAAACCGCCAATCACAGTCCGTCTCTTTCTCGCTCGCTTACGTCGTGGATTGGCGCCACACGTGCTCGACGTTGTTCTTGCAATACATGACAGCGAGCATTCGGATTGAGTTGCTGATTGCGTCACGAGACAGCGCGACCAACTAAAGCAGGGCAGGGCATTCAAAGCCATGAGGTTGTTGGTCAGTCAGTCTGAAGCAAAGGCTGACGTGCGAATCCATCCACGACGACGCAGCAGCAGCAGCAGCAGCAACAAACAACAACAATCAGAGTCGTGCTGTACCTGCAGCGCAGAGAAAAACCCAGGCGTGGACTCGAGCTGGACGAGCGTCGCGTTGGCCTCGGCGATCAGCGCAGAGTTGGACTGGTCGGTCGCCCGCGCGAGCACCGCTGCAACGTACTGCACGCTCTCAACGGGAGCAAACGCGTTGCTCAGCAGTGTGGCCGTCGACATGCAGAGGCGATGGGGCTGAGGATGGCGATGGTGGGGGTGGATTCAGAAACAAAGACTGAGTGCACATGCCCAAATGCGTGCAGTAGCCAACATCAGCTTTGTGCATTGACAGGGATAATAGAGCTGTACAGTGGAGTTCGAGGGAAGGAAGAGAATAGCAAGCGAGTGGCATCCTCATTGGCTATCGTTTTGGACGCTGTTGCTCAAAATTTAATCAAGAACAATGGCAAAACAACAACAACAACAACAACACCAACAACAACTAGCATGCATTGTGCTGTCAGGAAAACAACAACAAAAAAAAACAGCCCGCTTTGCTGTCGTTTTACTGGGCGGCAGGCGCTTCGCCAGAGCCAGTGGCCTCATCCGCGGCAGAGTCAAGAGCACGGGACTTGGCAAGCTCGGTAAACTCGGCAATAAGCTGGGGAATGGTGCGCTCGCCGTGGACCTTGTTGTCACGGGTGCGGACGTTCGCGGAGCGGCTTTCGCGCTCGCGAGCGCCAACAACGAGAATGAAGTTGTACTGGGCGAGCTGGGCGTTGCGAACCTTCTTGTTCAAGGTTTCGTCGGGCCAGAGATCGTAGTCGACGTGGAATCCAGCGTCGTGCAGCTGCTTCTGTACCTCGTGTGCGTAGTCGTTGCAATCCTTGGAAACGGCAATCACCAATGCCTGGCGGGGCGACAGCCAGAAAGGCCTTTGAGCAGAATCGAGATAAACAGACCACGACGATTGAGCAAAAAAGGAACGAAACCAAGCAACCAACCAGAAAAACAAAACACAACAACAAACACTCCGAGTCAGATCGAGCCAGAGCTGCACTTACCACTTGCCAGCAAAGTTCTCAGTCAGAATCGCAATCATGCGCTCAACCGAGCCGAGGATGGCACGGTGAATGATGACAGGGGTCTGCTCAGTGCCATCGGGCGCCTGGTACTTGAGGCCAAAGCGGATTGGCAATTGGAAGTCAAGCTGGATGGTGGCGCACTGGTGGGAGCGACGGAGAGCATCCATAATGGTAATGTCGATCTTGGGGCCATAGAAGGCACCATCGCCAGGGTTGAGCTTCCAGGGGGCACCGAATTTGTTGAGAGACTCTTCAAGTTGCTGTGGACGGAGTCAAACAGTGAGCACTACATCTTGTATCGAAAAAAATAAAAAAATAAAAAAGAAAACACGAAAACAGACAACGACCACCTCGACAACTCCAAACCCTGCCTACCTTCTCGGCCTTGTCCCAGAGAGCAATATCGCCGAGGAAACCCTCAGGACGGGTGGACAGCTTGAGCTGGAAGGTGAAGCCAAAGACAGTGTAGACAGCCTTGAGGAACGCAAGAGCATTGTCAATCTCGTTGGCAATGTCGGACGGCTTGCAGAAGATGTGGGCGTCGTCTTGCTGGAAGCGGCGAACACGGGTGAGACCGGTCAGGGCGCCAGACGCCTCGTTGCGGTGGAGCACACCGAAATCGGCGAAACGGATGGGCAGCTCCTTGTGTGAGCGGAATGCTTGGTCGAACATCAGGCAGTGGCCAGGGCAGTTCATGGGCTTGAGCGCAAACTTTTCCTTCTCAATGTCAAAGCTGAACATGTTCTCGGCGTAATGCTGCCAGTGGCCCGACTGTTGCCACAGCTTTGAGTTGTACATGTTGGGGGTGATGACTTCGGTGAAGCCTCGAGCCCAGTATTCGCTCTGTCAGTCGCAGGCCGAGTAAAACCCAGAGGAAGTGAGACAAGGGCATTCACAAAACAAAAAAAACTAAACAAAAAAAAAAAAAAAAAAAAAAAAAAAAAAAAAAAAAGAGAGCTAAAACAAACATACTCGAATAAACTCCATCAGAGTGTTGTAAATGCGAGTGCCGTGCGGCAAGAAGAAGCAGCTGCCAGGGCTGAGCTCGTGGAAAAAGAAGAGCGATTGTTCCTGCGACGCGAAACAAACAAACAAAAAAAAATAAACGAAAAAAATGAGTGAATGGGACAGCCAGGGACATCTCAACCTTCGTCTGCCAAAATAACAACACGCCTGTTTCACCACTCACAGTGCCGAGCTTGCGGTGGTCGCGCTTGGCAGCCTCCAGCTGGAACTTTTCCCAATCCTTCATCATCTTGACGTCAGGGAACGAGACGCCGTACACACGCTGAAGGGTCTCAGCGTCGGCCTTGCCTTCCCAGTACGATGCAGAAGACTATCAGAGGAGCATGACGAGCAAAACGAAAAAAAGCGTAAGTATGACCGCGGAACCGTCAAAAAAAAAAAAAAAAAGAAAACAAAAAGCAGAAAACAAAAAGCAGAAAACAGGGGGTGGAAAACAACATTGCAACCAAAACGCGCTACCCCACCCACCTTGGTCACAGCAAAGGACTTGACCTTGCCAGTGTGGCGAACGTGCGGGCCACGGCACAAATCAATGAGCGGGCCGCAGCGGTAGACGGTGGTGCGGTCGGTGGTGACGCGCTCGTTGATGATGCGCTGCTTGAAGGTGTTGTACTTGAACATTTCGAGGAGGTCGGCCTTGGAGAGCTCAAGGCGCTCAAACTGCTGCTTCTCCTTGGCAATGCGCTCGGTGAGCTTGTTAATGTTGCCAAACTCGCCGGGCAGGACGGTGCGGTTTTCGAGGTGCATGTCATAGTAAAAGCCCTCGTCGATCGGCGGGCCGTAGCAGAGGCAGCCACCGTACTGGAGCTCGAGCGACTCGCCGAGCATGTGGGCAGACGAGTGCCAAAAGACGGCCTTGGCCTCGTCGTCTTCCCAAGTGAGGAACTCGAGCTTGCAGTCCGCCTCGAGCACGCGGTCGAGATCAAACACCTCGCCGTTCACCTTGGCAATGATGATGTGGTCAGTGTTCTTGAACATGGTCTCGGCAATGCTCTGCGGGGTGGAGCGCCAAGACTGGGCCTCTTTGACCTCCTGCTTGCCAGCGTTCAACAGCACAGTCACCTGGATGGCGACGGGGGTCTTGGCGGCAAGCTCGTCCAGGAACTCCTTGCGGCGCTTGTCGTACAGCGCAATGCGCTCGGCAATAAACTCTGGGCGCGGGTTGAGCTCGAGTGCGGCGTTCGCCTCCTGCGAAGCCTTCTTTTTGGCGGCAGCCTTCTCGGCCTTTTCCGCGGCGGCGGCGGCGGCGGCAGCAGCCTTGTCAACTTGAGGTGCGTCGCTCATATTTTCAGAGGGGCTGCGAATGGAAGAGAAACCTGCAACGGGGAGAGGACAGGAGGGGAGAGCGAGGGGATGAGTGCAAAGACGGCAGTTTCAGAGCGAGACAAAGGGAAAAACCAATGTGACACGAGTGAATGTGGGCTTGTGACACGAGAGTCGAGTGGAGCGAAGAGTAGAGTGGAGCGAGACAGGACAGCAGAGGAAGAAGCAAGAAAGAACAAGACGAATAAGAAAAAAGAAAAAAAAGCGAGATCACAGCATGTGCGACTGCGGAACGGACGCGGGTTGGGACGCCGTGTGGTGGGGGTGGGGGGGACAGCGGCAGAGGTGGAAGGTGGAGCGTGAATGCGGCGGATGTAGAGTGGGGAAACAAAAGGGGAGGACGAAAGAGACGGGGGCGAAGAGGGATGAGAGAGCGAGAGCGGTTTAGCAGAGAAACAAAAAAAAAAAAAAAAAAAACCGAAATGAGTGGAAATTGCATTGCAAACCTGAATTAAAAAAAAAATGAATGAACTTTTTTTCTTTTTTTTTCTCATCTGAGATAACCATGGCATGGGATGATGTCATTGTCAATGTTGCTCTACAACTATTGCTACTGCTACTTGCGAATTAGAGTGTTGATGATAGACACGATGAACAGCTCGTCAGAGAGCTCCACGCTGAAGAAACAGCAAAGCAACTGAGTCGCTGCTGCTGTGAGCTCAGCTCGCGAATCTCGACGACGGCGCTTGCCTATACATCTTTGCCACAAGCTCTATTTGGTCAGCTTGCCCCTCTTGCCGTTGAGTGCGTCATCCAATCCGAGGAACTCCTGCCAATCCAGTTTGAGCTATTTCTTTGGCTGCTCCCGAATGGACTGTTTTTTCCATTGCCTCAGAACTCAAACGCTCAGAGTTCTCGCTGCTGCTTTGTTTTTGTACATTCTCCCGCTTTCCTTCTCAAGCTCAGACGCTGAGGTTTTTTTTTTTGTTTTGGCTCAGTTCTGATTGTATGTGCATGCATTGAGTGATGTCGCTCATGTGTGCTTTTGAATCCCATTGAATCCCATTGAATTCTCGTGTCCCCTCTTCACTCCCTTCCCCCTCCAACCCCCACCAACTTGTCCCTCTTCCTCTCCTGTGCCTTGCATCCCCCTCCCCCACTTCTGCCGCTGGTCGCCTCCCCCCCCCCAACTCATCGCCATTGGGCTGAACTCGTTCAAAGCGATCTCGACCATTTTCTTTTCCACCCCCCCCCCCGTCCTCTTGCTTCTTCCTCTCCTTCCACTGTGTGCGCCATCCCCCTTGCCACTCACACTCGCACCGTCTAACGCATTGTTGCATCCCTGTGCTGACGACACGCTGCTCATGCTGGCCGTTCCTCGCTTTCCTTTGTTCTCACATTTTGCTCCTCTTCTCTCATTTTGCTCCTCTTCTCTCCCTCTCTCTTCTGCGGCCCAGTTTTTTCAACCATGACCTCGATTCCGTACAAGCAGGACATGCCCCCACAGGGCGGCTTTGCAGACGTCCCATTCCGAAAGCCAAAGGCCGTCCGCGGTCTCTCTGGCGCTGCTCTCTTTGCCATTGGCACCGTCACCATGTTTGGCGGTCTCTTCATTGTCGGCCAGGGCAACAAGACCCGACGGTAAGTCCTTTGATCAGCGTGTTTCTTATCTGTATGGGTACATTGACGCGTGTCAGCGGAGGAGAGCGGGAGAGCGCAGACATACCGCTCTTGAACTGACTTCTCTCGGGTCGCTCCTCAGATACTGGCGCGAGGAGCAAGTCATTGCCCGACGAAACCTCGTCCCCATGCTGCAGGCCGAGGAGGACCGGCGGTTTGTGCTGGCCAAGCGCGCTGCAGAGGCCAAGGAGGCCGAGCTCATGAAGAACGTCCGCGGCTGGAAGATGCACGAAAAGATCTATAACACGGACAAGTTTGTCACACCCGTTCCAATCCCCGAGCTTGGCTTGCGAAAGTAGAGCTCCTTTGTTGTTTTCTCTTCCGTATTGTTGGTACTCCCTTGTCGCTAATAGATGCCTGGCATTTTTGTTGTTGTTGTTGTTGTTGTCATCTTTCCTCTTTCTTTTCTTTTTTTTTTTTTTTTTCTGTGATGAACTACTATGGTTGCATGTCGATGTGGTGTTGATTGTAGTTGTGTGAATGATCATTTCGTATTCTCTCTGTTCATGGCATTTTTTGTTGTTCAAACGAGAAGGCTACGTGTCTAAAAGCTGGCTCGATACTACATCACCAATCGTAGGCCCACGGATTTCTAAAACACGCAAGCCAGCCATCCAAATGTGAGCAAGATACACTACACCTACACTCGTACCACATGTAAGCGGACAGACAACTTACAATCGCAAAAAGTCCTCAGTTGCGTCCTTGAGCGCAAGATTTGGGACGAGTTGGCTTTCTTTCAGCTTGGCGCGTGTCACTGGGTCATACCCGCCGTTGGCACGCAAATGCTCCTCGATGCAATACCGCTCGTAGGTGATTCCGCTGGGAGTGATGACGGGGTCGACCAGCAGATCGCACGAGATTTTACCGACCAAATAATCTGGCACCATTCGTCGCTGAAAGAGAGCAATGACAAAAAGGAGATGAGCAAACCGAAGCTGGCCGTTCAATCGACCAGTGTCGCAGCACCCGACCCTCTTTGATCGCTTACCCTTCGTCGCTCGTCAATCTGCTTGAACAAGTCCGTCACCTGTGATAGCTTGTCTTCCTGCAAAGACATAAAAACGAATAGCAAGTTAACACGCCGCTCTTGCGCATAACTTGGGCTGTTTGTTGTGTTGTGTTTGGGGGGGGCGGGGACAACAGAAAAAAACGGCGCAATCACTCACAAACTGCTCGGTGATTTTCGCTGCATTCCTGGGATTGGAAGCAAGCTGCTCCTCCTTGTCCTTCAAAACAAGCTTTCTCAGGTACTCGCTGAGGCTAATCTCTTGGAGTATCCGCTGGGACTCTTTCTTGTCCCAGACCTAACGTCCATTTTCAACAACCAAAATTATGAATTGACGTCGCTGCACGTTTGAGCAAAGACTGCTGAGCCACCCACCCGTTGCTTGACTTTGCGGCAAAGGGACCATATTTCATCGCCATAATCCAACCTTTGCTGTACGGCAAGGTCGGTGGCTATAAAACGGGCACCAAGAACGAGAGTTGTGAGCGACACAAAATTCCTCATGCGCTCGGTGCATCCCATTACTCACCCAGCTTGAGCACATCGCCGGCTTCTTCATCATTTCCAAGCGCAATCAACCCTTGGCCAAGGTAGTAGTGTGCCTACACGACAGACGAAATGTTGAAACACATTGTTTAGAAAGCGAAATTGGCTGTGCATCGAGTCTGTGTGCCAGCCGTGCCAGCGCAACAGCACACACTTAAGGTGCAACCATCATGCGCTACATCATCACTATCGACCAAATGACAATGACAATGACGCGCAGCCACACAATGCAAGCTGCAAAAGCGTGTTGGAAGGCGGCGCTTTTCGCTTTTACCTTGACGCTTGACTTGTCCAAGCGAATGGCTGTGCGCGCGTCTGACGCAGCCTCGTCCCACTGCTTCAGCTTGATGTAGCACAGCGATCTGTTTGTATACAGCTTTGCATTGTCCGGGTCGAGCGCCTGCCAGCCACCAACACACAAACAGCAGCGCAAGCCAGTTGAGCGTTTTGAGCCGAGTTACGCAGCCAACCAACAACCCCCTCCTCCTCGCATGGCACCCACCCACTCACCATAGCTTCGTTGTATCTGCGAATGGCCTCGTCAAAGCGCTCCTCCATAAAGTGGCGGTTGCCCTCGGCGCGCTGAGCGTCCGCTTTCGCCTTGTTCGCCTCGCTCATCGCAAGATGCTGTACAATGGACAAGGCAAGACTGAATAGGGCTGAATAGGATAGGAGCAGCATAATTAATTCGACAACGAGCCTTTGTAAATGGTTTTGTCAATAGGGATGCATTGGGACCATGTGCGAAGCAGTGAGCGTGCAACTTCTCGTTGTTCGCGCCCACTTGTTGTTTCGATCGAGCAAAAGAAAGACGGAGGAGAAGGTTGGCGGACTGACGTGACTGGTGCCCAAACAAACAATCAGCTGAACGAACAATGCCAAGAATCGAGAATTCACAAAATGTACGAGTATTCTTAGAGTCGAGCGAATCTCTCACTCATCTCATGGAATCTACATGCTGAACACTGAAACTGCAGCACAAATACGACATCCGCTCTCCATTTGTCAAGGGTCCAATGTCGCAAGGATGCTTTCAAAGGAGGGACGGTCATCTGCAGCTTCTTCAAGACACGCGAGAGCAAGAGTGGCTAGCTCACTGCCGCTTTGGCGCTCTGCTTCGGTTGGTTCGAGGGTCGAGTCCAGCATCTCAAAGACAGTGTTGTTTTTAACAGCCTTTCGTGTGCTTGTTTTAAGGCTGGGCCCGGCCTTGGCGGCGGTCAATAGCTCAAGCAGAATCATGCCGAATGCGTAGACATCTGTCTTGATGGTCATTCTGCCCTCAATGAGCAATTCTGGACACAGGTAAGCAAGGGCGCCTTGAGTATCTTGGGTGCAAACGTAGCTGCCCTCAAAAGTTTTGTGGGCCGCACGAATAAGGCCAGAATCAGACACTCTCGCCGTGAAATGCTCGTCCAAAAGCACATGGTCCGTCGTAAGATCGAGGTGGATCAGTGCACGATCAGGGAAGGCTGTCTGGATATGGTGCATGCCGCGGGCAACATCAGCAGCAATGCGATGGCGCTGGAACCAAGTCAGTGGAGGGGTGCTGGTCTTGCGATCCAAGCGGTCGCGAACAGAACCGTTTTTTGGCATGCATGCGTTCACAAAGCACCATTCGTCGCCTGATTCTACATACGACATGGTGGCAATGATGTTGGGGTGGCTGACTTTCGACAAGGACAACAGCTCCGACGCGACGGTGGCCGCGCGTTGACGGCCCTCGCGTTGCCATCGCTGAACCGAATCAACGCGAGGGCCAGTGGCGCCCTTCATGCGACCAAATGCTCCTTCGCCGAGCAGAGATTCCGTGGCACCGTTGCTCGTGCCGGCAGCAAGAGTTGCGAGAACAAGTTGCCGAAAGGCGTCGTCAAATCTCGCGGATGTGCCGGCAGGTTGGTTGCACTCGGATTTGTCGATTTGACCATCTTTGGCAGCGAGATCGGGGCAAAGTCGTTGTAGCTCCTGCTCGTTGGCAGCGAGATCGGGGCAAAGTCGTTGTAGCTCCTGCTCTTTGGCAGCGAGCTCGGGGCAAAGTCGTTGGAGCTCCTGCTCTTTGGCAGCGAGCTCGGCGCGCAATTGCTGGATCTCGATGGCAGCAAGCGCGGCGGCATAAGCTGCAGCCTTGCCTATTTCGATATGCAATGGTGCTTCCTGGTTGTCAGGACTAGCACGGAAGGAACCACAAGTTTTTTGCCAGTGTGAGTGAATGGGTAGTGGTGTGGTTGGGAATTGGCTTCAAAACCCGCAATCCATGCTTACTAAACGAGAGCCAGCAATGTGTTCAACTGGAGTGCCTCGGCAATCGCTTGCAATGCAGCGTCGCCAAGCTGAGTCGGCTTCGCACCGTCCGTCCCCTCCATTCGAGGCTTGGGTGCTGTGGCGGCTGAAACAGCTTGTTCTTGTTGCACAGCAATCAGCGAAACTGTGAGGCGATTTCGCGCAACCAGCTCTTTGTTTTCCCACTGCATGCATGCGTGGTTGTATGTGCGTGTATCAAAATGATGACATGCAACAACGTGAGCTCAGAAGCTGCGCGCGTTGCTGACAGAGCGCGTTTACCATCGTGTCGTCGCCAGCATCGCCAACCAAGCTGTGCACTTCAAACATGTCCTTGACTTTCTCTTCGATGGGCTCCGTCTGGGCGAGGAGCGACACTGTCTCGCCGTAGTTTCGACGTTTAAAAGTGAGAAGGGGGGAGGGCAACGCTGTGTAGCAACGACAGCCATTCCTCACCAATAACTTCCACGGTGGACTGCGGCAGGACAACGCCAGCGTTGGGACGGACTGAGTAGCGCTTGGGGTTGGTGGTCTTGATTTTGAAGTGGATGGGCTCGTCCAGCGGGTTTGACAGTGCGAGCGTGCTCGTGCGGTTCTTGGGGGCTTTGGCATTTTCATCTAAATACAGCATATTCAGGGTTTCGTTGCTTCTCAGAGTACTGACGCGCCTTCCCTCCACCCTCCCTCTTTACATAAACACACGCACACACACCACACATATGCGGGTGCATGTAAATTCGCTCCCCTCAGCGCATGAGCATTGAGAGTGGTTCTTTGTTCTGAACAATACAGCTTAAAAACTGGTTGTCACTGTCTGTTTCGCATTCGCTTCTGTTTACCATTGAAGACAAGCTCGGATGCCGGATGAACGACGAGCTTGGATTCGAGCATTTGCAGCGATGACGACGCGTCAGACTGGATGGAGGTCAATTTTCAGACAAAGAAGCAAAACCACCAAAGGGTTTGAAATCGGGAGTGAACGACGCTTATCTGATCTGATCTGATCTGCTCCGACGTACTGCTCGAAGCAGCAATAAATGTTACCAACCCGGAAAACTCGGCGCTTCTGCATCACCATCACCATCACCAGATGAGGATGATGATCACTCAGTCTCATTGCCCTTCACCAACAATCTTGCTTCGCTCCTCCTTTTCCAATCCTCACTCCTTTTCCAATCCTCATCACTCCTCCCATTTATTCATTCCCCCCCCCCCACCCCGCCGCCCTGAATGCTCGTCTCGCAGCCATCGTCTGCGGCCAATTCGCGCGCCGCGTCGCCGTCGGGGCTCCAGCAGACGACCTTCTCCAATCTCAATGCAGCGAGCGGCTTCCTCAGCTCCGCCAACCCGGCGTCGACCGATGCCCTTCTCATCGGGTAAGAATCACAAAATCTTCCACCCGCACAAACCGATTCCTTTTCGTTATGCTGCACCCATCGCACTCACAGACGGACAAGCACTGCATTGAGTGACCTGACGCTCTGACGCTGCTGGTTGCGGCGCCCTCGTGGAGTGCCTCGGCGTCGAAATTTGAGAGCCACACTCGTCCAAAAACCGCCTCCTATCACTCTCGATGTCTCACCTGCTTGCTTCTTGTGTGTCTGTGTGTGTGTGTGTGTGGAATCTTCCGCTCCTATTTCCCCCTTTGCAGGCTCAACGCGGCTGCAGCGAGCGCGACTGACTCGTCCGCCGGTTACTCGTCCCCGCGTGCCGCCGCTCTGCTCGCCGCCAACGCTGCCAACGCATTCGCCGCCAACGCCGCTGCTGCGTCACTGGTGGCTGCGAACGGACTGCCCACTGGTGCTGGTGGCTTGGGCTCGTCCAATCCGGCGTCGCTCGATACGAGTCCGACCGGGATTGGCGCCGGCATCAACGGCAATCTGCCAGCGTCCTCCATCTTCAAGCCCATGATGGCGCCGTTCGCAGGAGGGTCTGCGCGATTCACACCAGTCAATGCTGCCGCGCGCGCCGTCGCTGCTGGAGGCTCCATGAGCGGCACGGCAACGCCAACCGCAGCCGGCGCAGGCTGGAACTCGCCCTTGTTCCAACGCACTCTCACTGCTCCGGGCATGCCTGGCTCTGGCGCAAACACTCCGACATTGGGGCAAAGCTTTGCTGGCGATGCCGGTTTCCCGAGTGGCGGCAACTCGTTGCCACTCAACGGCGCGATTGGATCTGCAAGCGGCGCCTTCACCCCTGGAGGCAGCAACGCACGACCTGGGCTTCAAGCACCACCTGTGCCAACCCACGGCTCGTTTGAGACGACGCAGCCGAATGTATACAACATTTGCCTGCCCGCGGGCTTGCACGCAGGGTCTACATTTTCCATTTCACTCAACATTGCCACTCCTGTCAATTCGTGCGCCAACTGTTGCGGAACTGGAGCTAGCGGTGGTAGCAATGCTGCACCTGGTAGCCACCACAACAAGCCCCGTTCTGCAACAAATCCTAGCTCCTCGTATCCAGGCACACGGTTTCGCACGTCCGCCCGGAATTTATCGCGTGCCGCGTCGCCCGATTCGGCCTCAAATGCCCCTAGCGATGATGGTAGCGATGACGACGTCGACACTCAAGACCGAGGACACGGCAGCAGCAGCAGCATTAACACCAGTAACAACAACAGCAATAGCAACAACAACAACAATAGCAACAACGATGACGGAGACTATGGATCCGACGACTCGGATACTGAAGGCCCCAACTCGAGCGGCAAACGACGGCGGGCGCGAAACGCCAACTACAACGACACGGCTCGCGAGGTGAAGCGACCGGCTACAGGCTTTACAGCTGCGCTGCCGGACGAGGTTGTGAACGAGATGCGCCAATTAGCGCACTCGATAGCGACGTGCGAGGAGCTCCCAGAGGATGTCCGCGCGCCGCGCACCGGCATCGGGTGCATGATTGCCCTGTTTGAGATGCTGGAGCCTGCCGAGATCGAGGAGCACGTGCGCCTTTCGAAAGCAGCCTGGTCCACTGTCGCCGAGTTTTGCGTCAACGACGGGCGGCCTGACGATCTGCCGCCGCGGGCGCACCACTTTAGCACTCCTGCCTACAAGAAGCTGATTGAAGAGTGGACGGAGAGCTACTTTGAGGACTGTCCCAAGAAGATTGCCCTGCTCCGCGTGTTTGACGTGGCTCGCATGGTCTTTAAGAAGCGGTTTCGAGGCGGAGAGGACGCGTGAATGGTGATGGATCTAGCCGTTATGTTTTTTTCTGTTTTTTTGCTTTTGCGTTGTGTTTTTGCTTGTTTCAATTTAATTGAGATTCTCAGTCTCTATTTTTTCTATTCCTTTGTTTGGTGTGTTCGGTGAGGTTTTGGTTTTGTTGGCTGTGGTTTCGATGCGGATTGACTATGAATGAAAGGGGAGACAATCTGCGCAACCCAGGTGCTCGATCAAGAAGCGAGAGAGTGAGTGAGTGAGTGAGTGAGTGAGTGAGTGAGTGAGTGAGTGAGTGAGTGAGTGAGTGAGTGTGTGTGTGTGAGTGTGTGTGTGTGTGTGTGTGCTGTGATGGACGTAAGCCACTTCCATGCCAAAGCCAAGAGAGCTCCCTTTTGGACGAGTCTGCCCCTTCCGCTGCACACCTGCTCGCGCAGTGTGTTTGTCTTGGCCTTTGACTGTCTATTGATCAGCATTGTGGATGTTCGACTGTGGTTGGGGGTGGGAGCTCGCTGGTTCCCTGTCTGGATCTCAACACCAATCTGCCGCTCTCCACGACTTCCAATCCGCCTGACTGTCTCTCTTTGTCTCGCTCCCACTGACACGCACACACACACACACACTCTATCTCTCTCTTTTTGCCTTCCCCCCTTCATGTGTGTCCTCCTCCTCCCCCCCCCCCCGCCTTCGTTGATGGAAACGTCGCTCAATACATAAAGAACAAAAAACCAGGTTTTTTTTTTTTTTTTTTTTTTTTTTTTTTTGCGATTCTTTCGTCTTTTGTGATTTTTTGATATTTTTGTGATCCATTTTGAATGAGATTTGCCGTCCATTTTGAATGCGATGACGATTATACTAATGACGCCATTGTCGAGCATTATCTTGTGAGAGCGTTGAGGCGATTGGGGTTGGGAGTTGACTCTTCGTGGGGGATTTAGCAAGCGATCCTCATGACTAATGCCCACTACGACTACTTTCCACTCGTCCTCCTGTCTTGCTCTCACATGCGCAGACGACTACTCATCGACTTGTGCTTCATTCACTTGCTTTTGCTCAACCATCCATCATACTCATTGCTCTTGCTGGTCTTGATCTGTGCTGTTTTTCGTATCTTTTGATCCCGCTTCATGCGCACAGTTCGTTCAGTCTCACACCCAGTTTGACTCTACAGCTCAAAGTGATACCCAGTCCTCATCCCTCACCAACGGCAGTATCAAACACGAGACACACTACCAGAGACAAAAAAACGCCCCAAAGGACCACAGTCGCACACTCGCAGTCGCAGTTCCGTGTTCTTTGACTCTTTGAGGTCAAGACAGCGGAAATCCACACAGCAGCAGCAGCAGCAGCAGCAAGCAAGCACCGCGAAAGAGTCTCACAATGACGGACGCTGCGCCACGACCGCCCGACAGTGACGGTGACGGCAGCCAGCAGCAGCGGGGCAGCCTCGACGACGAGCTCCTCGGCCGGCTCGTCCCGGCAGACAGCCTCGAGTCGCTCATGACCATGCGCCACTCAATGTCACTGACATCCGACGACGCACAAGAAGCAGAGGCCCAGGCACAGGCGCAGGCTCTGCAGCAGGCACGCAGCGACTCGCCAGACTCGGTGCTGCGGCTCGACATTTCCGCACCGACCGGCATGGACAGCGTCGCACCGCTCTTCCTGCCGCCCGCTGACATGCTCCTCGATTTCACAGCGCCATCCTCGTCCGATCCGTCGTCGTCGTCGTCTGCAGCGGCTGCAGCGGCGGCGGCAGCGGCAGCAGCAGCAGCAGCGTCTGCCTCGTCAATGGTGGACGCTGGTGCGTTTGGGTTGATTCCCCTGCCGTTCGCGCTGGACGCACATCTCGTCTCTCCTATTGCACACCCACACCTAGGCCACGGTGGTGAGCCTGCCTCCTCCGCGCTGAGCAACATTGGCCGCCTTGCAGACTCGCCAGCGGATTCACCGTCGCCCTCCGCTGACGTCTATATTCCAGTGCGCAGCACGCCTGGCGCGGGCAGTCTCGCTGGCTCGCCCGTCACGCTCTTTGCTAAGCCGCCGTCTCCGCCGCTGCCACGGCGCAACGATTCGGGGGACAATCTGCTCGAGCTGGTGAACGACACGACCAACCACTTTGACATGTCGATGCGCATGGCATTGCACCAACAACAAGACCAATCGCCGCTGTCGTCACCCGTCAAGCTATCGCCGTCAAAGCACTCGCGTCCTCAGGCTCTTCAGTTCCCTCTCGACGACTATCCAATAGAATCCGCGCCGCACGAGTCGCAATCGCCCAAGAAATCGCGATCGAGCCCATTGCCCTCGCCACGGCGCACAAGCTCTCCCCCGCCCCAGAACGCCGCCGCTGCTGCTGCATTCTTTGACGATCTGCCAGTCGGCTCACCGGGACGGCGGCTCAGCGCAGCATCCATGCTCCCATACTTTCCTGTCGGGGACAGCTCAACCTCTACCGATGCT